ATTACAAATCCACACAAATAATATTTTTTATTATATATTAGAAATAGTATTTCGTACAATGTTCGAAAGCAAATATATTCATTTGCTTTCAGCCTTACATTAAATTCACCAACAGACTACTGCGATCAGACTAAACCGAGGATTGTATTAACAATAGACTACACAGCTTGAACCGTTCGCCGGAGCGAGAATTGATTTTTTATCACTTGCTAGCACGCATTTGAAGAATATCTTGACTTTTTGTTACTTTTTATAAATTTTTTATGAAGTTTGTGAAGAGTAAGATTTTTAGTAATTCATGTTTCATAAGACTATGCTTTCAGATGATTCCTCGCCGATTGCAAATTACTTCTACTTGATCTTCCATTTTCCGGTGTACGAACGCACAAATGAGCAATGAAGACATCAAATTGACAAACAAGCTAACATATAGCAAGCTTATACAAACTTGAATGATAATAATTAATATGCCCTTAATAACCGAGTGCGAGGTCTTTACGGAGAAATATCGGACTGAAGTTTATCATACAGACCGAGCCCGTAGGGCGAGGTTTGTACAAAAAACAGAGGTCCAATATTTCTCAGTAAAGACCGAGAAAGCGAGGTTATTAAAAGGTTTATCATATAGCATTATTTACATGAAACAAAGCTTGCTTTCTTTCTTGTCCTTGCTGTTTTGTATACGGTTGGATTTCACTTTCCTAGTTTTCGTCCAAAAATAAATCGTTTCAAATTGTATCGTCTTCATAGTTAATGTGGTTAAACTGTTTTCCAAATGTTTTTTTCTTCAAATCACATACGTAAATGGTTTTTGTTTCGTTTATTTTGCGTTTTGCTGTTTGCATTACGAAGTTTGCTTACATTTCACTGTAAAATTACGCCTTTTGAACCGTGGTCCATCACAGAAAATAACGGACCGGGAAAATTTTTTTTGTGCCAATCAAAGCGCGACATTTATCCGGAAGTGACACTTGCCATATAATAAGTCACTATAGTACACAGGTTTTTGCTTTGCATTCTGAAAGTTTCGCTTAGAATGAATCGAGCGATTGAAACGAGAAATTGCTGACAAAACAACCCTTCGATGTTTTCCAAGAAAGCGACAATGAACGGTATTCTTCATTATGTGCGACTATCGCCGAGGATTGCGACTGGCACTCCGATTGACGGACAGAAGGGTAATTTAGCAAACGTCATCAAATTTTGGTAGGGGTTTTGCGTCTAGGACGCCAGTATGTCGTAAAGTATTTTTGTGTTATCAGACCTTTTAGGACTTCATCGAAGAATTGTATGAAACAAGTTTTATCTATTTCCGTATTTTCCTCCTGAATCTTTTTTTTCTATCATTTCAAATTAATTTTTGATACTAAAAATATACTTCAATGTATTTATTTCAATAAAAAATATAAATAAAGGAAAAAATATCCGTGGCGTTGTGACTAAAATTTTTTTGACTCTTAGGAACCCCCCTCCCCAAATTAGAGTCGACCTCGCGTTGTTTGTTTTTTGTTTGTTTTTTCACGCTTTAGGAAATAAGACATTGGCGGTTTTTACTTAAGTAAATGTATGTAGGCCTATATAAACTTTTAACTTGCAAATGTTAAGGATAATTAACGTATTTTTGTTCAGTATTTGAGTTTGTTTCATCTGTTATCGATAAGACATTGAATTGTATGCTTTCATGTCAAAATCGTCAACTCAACTGCCATGTTAGGGTGAGATCCAGGCAGAAAAATATATTGTTAAGGCTGCATGCCGAGTTAAGTTTTGAGACCGAGAGAGATATTTTCCCATCCTGACCGACCTAAACAGTAAATAACATACTTTACTTGTATTAAAATTCGAGTCGTACTCATTTTCGCTCAGCTTTAAATTCGCGCGATTTAATTTCGCGCACTTTGTTAACAATTATTCGCGCAGCTTTAAATTCGCGCAAATAGTTTTATGTGCTCGTTCTTTTTGGTTTGTTCAAAAGAACTATTAATAATTAACGCATTTATATTGAGCTTTCTTTATTAAGAAATACCTCAATATTCATCAAAAAAGCGATTGGGTGGCCTCAAAAATGGCTTCAAAATAAAGCGTGAGTTCACTATCCCAACAAGAACTAAAAATGTAATAAATGATATTGCCTAACAATATATTTTATAAGTCAAACAAAAGTTTAGCTACAGTTTAAATGGATCCTCTTTTCGGCAGTTCCTCCAATGCGGCGCTCACACCTGATCGTTGCCAACCTTTGACGACAATGTCCTTGTTCGATTGCATGTAATCATAGAACTGCACTATCCATTTTGCGTGAAGTGGTTTGAGCACGCTAATTCTCAAATCAACAGAAACCTTATCAGGTTGAATACCTTTCTCTATTTGGGCTTGGACTTGCTCTGAGTACCATGTTTGCGCCTGTTTTCGAAGGAAAGCTTTGCAAGAGCGATTGACCGTTAAATCTAAGGGCTGCAGGTATGATGTCATATTATTGGGAACAGGTATCATCTTCCCATTATAGTCGGAAATGATCTTCTTTACGGCATCCGTCCAATGTGCTTTAAAAACATCGGCGATCAAAACCCATTGTTTTGTTGCGCGAAAACCATGCTCTTCTCTAATTTACTTAACATAGGGGATAAGAATGTGATTGACTAATTCAATTGCTTTCGTTTCATTTGACCAATGATTTTCCGTGTGGGTAACGTGGAATTCTTTCGAAAATCTGAATTTAGGGTGACACCGGTCTGTTTTCCCGTGGTAGATTAGTTGAATTGGCAGAAACTTTCCCGACGCGGTGACTGAGAATGTTCCAGTAATTTGGCGATAATCGGCGCTATCACTGATCGGCACAAACTTCTCGTTAGTTTTGTCCATTGTATACTTGCTGATGAGGACAAACGGGAGAGGGGTCTGGTCAATATTTATAATGAGATCGTCGGGAACGTCATAAGCGGTAACCACTTCCTTAATAGAACGATGAAACGTGAAGAGAATTTCTTTTAAGAAGCCAGGTGATACGTGTTGTTTTGCAGTTGTTGCTCTACGTTTACTGAAACCCAATCTTCTGAAAATTGACTGGCACCATGTATAGTGGAATTCTAGGGTTCCTCCGTTTTCTTTCAACAAAGACCGATCATTAGCCAGTACTAACCCCGTTCGCTATGGAAATAGCAATGTTGTAATTGACAACACAACCGGCCGTTCTCATGCTCTTGATCATGGCGATAACTTTCTCATCGATGTTCTCGGGTAACAAAGTTTCTGCTCCACGATGTTTTCTTGGCAATTGTTCGAGTTCAGTGCGCTCTTTTCGTTCCTTATTGTACGATTTGACAAGTCCACGAACAGTTGACTCTGGTACGGAATACTTTCTTGCCTCCGGTCTTATTCCATGCACAATTCCCCATTTTGCAATTTCTGCTCGTTGAAAAGCATCATATGCTCCATATTTGCCCCTCCTTTTCTTTGGTTCTGGAGCGTCAAGAAATAATTGCTGTTTTACTGCATTTTTTTCGGCAGCATTTAATTTGCTGTCAGACGACGCGGCCGAAATATCGTCTTGGGAAACCTTTTTGAAATATTTTAACAGAGCCATGTGCATTGATTTCCCGCACAATGTTTTCTGTTGGCAATACTTGAACGGTAGAATATGTGTTGCGGAAACGTTTGACGTATTCGGCAATTAGTTAATAAGGAAGTAAAATCAGTCAGTAAAATAATAATAGAACATCATATCTAACACCTAAAGAAACGTGACTCATCATTGACTATTGTGTTGGAGAAATGGAAAGCATTTGCATCGTGTGCAATGATTTGACAAAAATACACTTGTCTAAAATGCAAATCATTTGTTTGTAACCGAGGAATCAAGTGTTCAATCCCTGCATCTGAAAACTATCCTGGATGGAAAAGTGGTTCGAGTGTTGCTTTATGTGAAGGGTGCGACGCGAAAGAAAATTACGCATCTGATTGCTTGCTTCAGGAAACCTACGATTCAGGAACGGATGATTCTAATTCAGTGAAACTGAGCCCCGAGGGGACATCGTTTTCTCTGGCTTGCGCATCACGAGGTTTTCATGAATACAGAAAAATCTGGGCTCCAAGAATCAACCAGCAGTTAATAATAAAACCAGAATCAGGAAACCTATTCGACCCATTTGCTATTGGTCTGTTTACCAAAATCAGAGGCAAGATTGAACCATTGTCACTGGTCGGACATTTGCCTCGAGAGATTTCCCGATTTTGCAAGTTCTTTTTTGAATATGGGGGCAATATAGAAGCATGTGTGTGTGACATCGAATTTCGTCGATCCCCATTACCACAAGGAGGCTTGGAGATTCCTATTACCTAACAGTCATGCAGAACAATGAAAGTTTTAGGATAGACAGCAAAATGCAGGCATTCGTGACGGAATACTACGTAGAACCTGAGAATATCCCGAATGAAATTGTACAGGATGAAAATGAAGACATTTTTGATTTTTAATTTTACCAGGACAACTAAAAACATATGTCAATATGTATATGCGTTAATAAAACAACTGATTTGCATAACCAACAATGAATGTCTCATATTATACTACAAAGCTTTTCGCGCGGATTATATTATCTCTCATATTATACTCAGCGCTGCGCGAATTCTAGTACTGCGCGAATTTTAATACAAGTAAGGTATTAATTTTTTAGCCAAAAGGAACAATCTTATTTGATTGTTTAGACAGATTAAACGATGGCGGTCATGCAAGTAAACAATTAAACCTTTGCAGTTTGTTTTGCTTATGAAAACTTAAAACATAGTTTGATTATTACGAAATACTTTTTTCACTCAGTATTTAGCTACAGGATTCCGGACCGGGGTCATGCAACGTAAAATTAGAATTTGACTGCAGGAGGATTCCCAAGTGCCGTCAAATCTTGTTAAATTCCGCCAGCTGCTACAGCCAATCAGATTGCAATAAAAAGAGATTTTGCGTATCGTATAATTTTACTTGCTTGTCATTTCTTTTTGTATAGATGGAATCAAGAAACGTAAGAAATCTGTTTAACATTCGCTTAATGTTTAATGTGGTTCGAAAGAAACTTGCTCAGTTTTTTATCGAAGAATGGAACTCTCGTTACAAAGATAGGTATGGAGAATGGGATGACACAAACAACAGTGGCAAAATATTTTACCAACTTGAACAACGTCCAATGCTTCCTCAAACAATAGCAATGTATTTTCGCGATGGAGACACCAGTAAATGGGACTGTACAATATTATTTCATGCAATACTTTTTTCAAATTCAATTGGAAATCATCTTCATAGAAAAACAAGGAATGCTTTAGATGAACTTCGTCGTGAAAGAAACAATTACGTACATTTTAGTAGAAGCGAATGCTCAGATGATGATTTTGATGAAATAGTCTGTATCATTGAAAATTCATTTGAGCAATTGCAATTTTCTCTCGAAGAAATCATTGAAATAAAGGCTGATCGAAGCAGTTTTAATTCATTTCAAGCTCTTCCTTCTAAATCTAATCATTTTCTCGTTGAACGCACAGAATTACGAGATCAAATTATAAAAGATCTTGAAAAATTAAGGAATTATAACAATAATGAACTGACATATTTCTACATCTCTGGTAATCCTGGCAGTGGTAAATCTCAACTTGCAAGACAGGTTTGTGAAAAAATATTTTGTGATTGGAAAAATAAAACTTCGTTTGTAATGACTCTCGATGGAAAGAATGAGGAATCTCTTTTAAAAACTTACTGTGAACTTGGATACCGTTTAAACTGTGACAAAAATATGATTAAAAAATTTGAAGATGACAACTGTTCCATCACAGACAAACTGACAAATTTGCGATCGCTCGTATCCACACGATTAAAATTCTGGCAAAATTGGTTGATCATTGTAGACAACGTGGCACAGCTTGGAAAAATTTCTTCGTTACTTCCCCAAGTAGGTGATCCCATGTGGACAAATGGACAAATCATAGTAACTATCCAAAACACAGATGCCGTACCTCAAGACGATAAGTTTAACAAACATATTTCTATCAGAAGTGGAATGAATGATAAAGAATGTTGTCAGTTGTTGAATTATTACACTGAAGATGAAAATGCTAATGATCAATTGTTGAATGAAATATCGCAAGGATTGGATCGTCAACCGCTGGCTTTGGCTGCTGCTGGTTATTATGTCAGTCTTGTAAGCAGAGTAAATGGTTCATTTACTTGGAGTCAATATTTAGTGAAATTATCTTGTGGAGAGCAAGAAGGCATGGACGCCACTTTTGTTAAATTTAATTCGGTATATCCTAGAAGTATGTTACAAGCTTCACTTTTAGCTGTCAGACAAAATGCTAAAGAATCCTCAATATTGGCAAATGTTATTAACTTTTTTTCCGTGATATCGTTTGATCCTATACCACGTGACATTGTTGTTTTTTATGTTCAAGAAATTCATCCCAAACACTCAAAGAAAGATATATGTCTTTGTTTAAAGGACTGCTCATTGTTCTTAAATTCAGAAAATAATGACATTAGTCTACACCGCATTGTTCACAAAGCAATTATTGTTTATCAATCAGAACATTCAAATGAAGAACATGAAATGGAAACTAACCTTGATCAAGTATCTAAAGCACTTTACATGTTTAAAGAGAGAGATGACGAAATCAAATTAATGCCACATCTTGAAAAAATTGTTCAATTATTAAAGACCAAGAAAATAAAAATCGACATGAATACTTTACAAGTTTTCAAATATTTTGTTGACAGATTAAGACATTTTAGAAAATACGATCTTGCTCTAGAACTATTGGATAAATTTAAATCAGAAGAATCTAGTAGTGACAAAGCTTGGTATTTTAGTGTCCTCGGTCTTTTATACCTTGACACTGAGAAGTATAGCGAAGCTAAAAATCATCTTGAAAAGGCTCTGGAAATTCGAAAACAATCGTTAGGTCAATATCATGTTGATGTTGCTGATTCTTTAAACAATCTTGGTTTGGTGTTTGAAAAAACTGGAAACTACGAAAAAACTATAGAGCTTTACGAAAAAGCTCTAGAAATTCGAAAACAATCGTTAGGTCCAAATCATGTTAATGTCGCTACGTCTTTAAACAATTTTGGTAATGTGCTTGAAAAAACTGGACACTACGACAAAGCTATAGAGTTTCACGAAAAAGCTCTGGAAATTCGAAAACAATCGTTAGGTCCAAATCATGTTGATGTCGCCGCGTCATTGAACATTCTTGTTTTGCTGTTTGATAAAACAGGGCAACACGACAAAGCGATAAAGTTTTATGAAGAAGCTCTAGGAGTTCGAGATTTGAAGTTGCTAGGTGAGGACCAAACTATTGTTACTGTGTCTTTGAGCAGGTTTGATGCGATGTACGAAGAAAATTAAAATACTGATAAAACGAAAAAAATTGTGAAAATTCTATTAAAGCTCGGAGTAAATTTACAGGTCCAAGTCATGCTCATATTTTGCCGTCTTCAAAATATTTTGGTAAGTTTGTTTAGGTATTACACAACATAATGTGGGTTGCTCAATTGCGATGAGGAACTAAGGACGTAAATAATTTTTTCCTGTAAGCATGGCTTCGGAGAAATATTATTCCATCACAAAATTATTTGGGTTTATTTTTTGGCATTTTGTTCGCGCAAATGTGACAAATTTTCAACCAACTATAACATTACAATAATTATTCATTTGCAATTTTTCATATTAACAATTTTTTGGAATATATTTACTCATACCCTATACTACTCGGTTTTTTAAAGCCGTCTTTCTCAAAATCAAATTCATATACCTTCAAGGTCACGTTTTTCATTGAGCTTACATGCTAGCAATAAAATATAAAATAATTCCAGACTTTTCTTGAAGCTAAATCCATCAGTAATTAAACAAGTCTAAAAAATATGTTTGTTTACAATTTTCTTTATTGACCAGGTTGCATAAAATTGCATAAAGTTGTAAGTAATAGCTTCCTCCTCCTCTAAACAGACAGCCAGCATCAATAAACTCGATAAAGTTTCTCTTTATAAGATACCTCCCCAACGGAGATTGGCTCACCGATATAAGCCTAATCATTGTGTTTCACATAACAATGTTGAACTAAGGCACGTGCACTGTGCAGCGTATGTTATTGTAAAAATGGCACCATTTCTATGCATGGTGGAATATTTTATGTCATAGGCTCAACATGTTGAGAGCGTCTACAAACATCCCTCAACATCTCTCAAGACAATGTTTACCGCATGTTAAGTGAACGTGTTAAGTGCATTTGTACGTAGCTTAAAGCAGCCATACAGACAATATATCAAATTATGTGACAAACCTTTTTTTTCCTCGTCCTTGCTGTTTTCTCAGGACTAGTTTTTTTACTCGTAGCTATATTTTTTGTCAGCAGAAATGATGTTGTTTGAAATTGTGTCGTCTAGATAATACAACCCACTTTTCAAGTGTTCGTTTTTAACTTACATTCATACCATGATTTTTTGTTTTGTTTTTTTTTTTGTTTTAAAAAACGTTTGGTGTTTCCTTCATGAAGTTTGTTTAGATACATTTATTTGTAATATTACGCCTGATGAAAGCTGGTCCATTACATGAAAATAATGGGCGCTTGCAAGGGGGGAAACCACCTCTCAATATTTCCATAGACTTGAAAATATCAGTTATATAAAACTGAGTGTAATATATGTATATGAAATTTTGGAGGTACATGTTTTTTGCTCTCCCAATTAAATCCGTTCGGCGCGCTACTATACTATAATGAACAAAACGAGATAAAAGATATAGTTTTTAAAAGCTACTAACCGAAACTTTTCAATTTACTTGTCTTATTTCGTTTTGAGCATTAGCTGTAATTTTTTTATTAAATTACGGAATAGAAATACACATGCAGATTGTGTGGATAAAATTTTTAAATATATTTTTCTTAGAAACCACAACTGGTGATGATTTTATTGCCGAAGATGTTGTAATTTCTCATGGTGTTGAAAATACAAAACAAGGTACGTCTTTCAATTCTATTTTATTTTATACATATTGCAAAATCTAATCATATTTGTTTCGTATTGTATGACAAATCAAGTCATTTGATTGTTATGTATTTGTTTTTATGAAGATTTATTTTTAATAATCTGGGGCTGGGTTTTTTTAAAGCTGGTTAACGCAGCCCAGGGTTAAACATTCCTAACCCAGGATTAATTTTTAAATCTGGGTTAGTTAGCATTGCTTGAAACTAGGTTATCTTAAACCTTCGGTTAAAACAAGGGTTAACTTAAACCCTCCTCGCTAGGTGGGTTGAATTACTTAACCCTAGGTTAACATATTATTTTCGTGATTAAAACAACTCATGACAGAATTTGCTCTTCATTTCCCATGTAAATTATCCTCGTTGCAAAAGACGATATCGTTTACGTAGACAAAATACTAAAGGTTTTTACGACATTCAGCTAAAGGCAAGAAATAAAATTTGGCAGAAACGAAATATATTGTATAACAAATCTAATTCTTCAAGCTTTATTTAGATAAGCAGCAAAGCTGTGCAATTCATCTACAACAAGTTGTAATTGCTTTGAGGTTCTTTGCTTCGGCACTCTCGTATAAGACGGATAAGATGTACAAGATAATCGAATTGTTGATAAATCTGCAACGGCGCTAACATTACAACTGCATTGAATAGACCTAGGAATCACTTTAAAACTGGCCACCATCAATTGATGAAAAACTACGTAATCGATAAAATCAAAACAACTTTTTTGCAAGCTGGCTTTGCTATTGGTTGTGCTGATTGAACTCACATAGTTAATTGACCTTATTTGGATTTGCCTGCTTTTTAACCAAATGTTAGTTAACCCAGCGCTTCATCCTGCTTTGAACAACCCAATTTTAACCCAGGGTTAGCCAACTTTAGGTTAACGAATTGAACCTAGTTTAGTTGCTAACTCTAGGTTAAGTTAATTGGCTTTTGAATAATCGGCCCATGATGTATACATGTTGAATTTTCGGACTCCAAACGATCGTTTATTACGTATGTTCAATAATGTATCAAAGACTTAAATTTTGCTTTTGCTAACGGCAAATAATTTCGATGTACTGTGCACCAGACGGCAGTGCTCAGCACAACTTGATAAGGTCTTTGTTTACCTCAATAAATACTGCGCAGCAGCAAAGTGGCGCAACTCTTTTTATAAAGTGGTCAAATTGACTACATTTCATCAGTTGCATTGAAAAAAAAGTATCATAACAAATAGACTAAAACGTTTTAAAATAAATCTTGATATAATGTACACCATAGAGATCAGACTCTGCATTTTAGAAGTGTTCAGGTTAGACAATCTGTGTTAAAGTGCTTTAATCTGTTTTAACCATGGCAGTAAAATTTTGTCACTTCACAATTCGTACTTGAAGCACATTATCAGTCAGTTGAAATTAAGATGAGACATGAGGTGTTAATGACATCATGCAATTTATTTTTTCAAAGTAACGTTTAAATGTATTCTGCTTGTTTAATCATAAAAACTTCTCAACAAACTATCCTTTGGATATACTGTCATACTTCACGTTTTGCATCCAGTGGCGTAGCTAGCGAAAAACATTTGGTCGGGCTTACAAGGCGCCACCATGGTTGGCGCCGAGCGAGAAAATTTTCCGAATTTAGACTCGCTAGAACGTCGGAAACGGCTATCTTAGAAAGCAAATGCGTGGTATTTATGCAGGAAATAGAACTATTTTGGTTAATTTAAATTGCCGAAGGATCTTATAGTAAAGCAGAGAAACAGTTCAAAAATAGTTGCAGATATGTGATTTATTTTCTCAACACCACATACATAAATAAATACCTATGTACATCTTGCAAAGAAACTTTGACAAAAGAACCGAAAAAGGCTCAGATTTGTCATCAACAACTATCAAAAGTTGTGATGCCGTTCATTGTCGTGCTGAAATGACAATCATCGTTGCCTGCATTAAAAAGTTCCCGGAAAAATTCTCACATGCCATGGACGTAAGACATCATCAGCTTGCTATCAGCCATATATGAATACCTATTTGTATAAGAAAGCAAGTCTTCGTGGTTTTTCAATGAACTTCTTTACTTCCTCATCATGCAATGTGTTGGCGTCTTCTTTTTCTGACAGTATGTCTTTGTGAATGGTAATCCTGCATAGAGAACTAAAAGGTCCTTGGCTCATAGTATTTCTAAGATAATTTTTTACCCTCTTCAAACAAGAAAATGACCTCTCAACTGAAGCACTTGTAATTGACAAAACCCCATTTATCTTTAACAGTTTTAAAACTTCTGGAATACTACATTGAAGATGGAACTGAAAAATATATTTCAATAGTTCATCGAATGAATCACGGTGAAAGTCTTTATCTCTGTAAATAAAACAAAGTTGGCTAACTAGCATTGGTATGTCAAACATATCACCATAAACCTCCTTTAGAAGATTTATCTTTTCTGAGGGCACTTCACCTTTCCACATCTTAAACACCCTAGGGTTAACAAGGTCTAAAATTCTAAAACGTTCCATTTCCTGAAATCGCTCATTCAGCATAGTCACAATTGTGTCAAGAATTTCAAAATACATTTGTTTGTAATTATGCCGTTGGTCATACCTGGTTACTGGTGGTCCCACTTTCTCAACAGTCAGGTCATACACCTGACAATATTCTGTATCATTTCTCAGAGAAGCAACAAAGGCCTTGAATCTCTCAACCCTACCTCCTCCATAATAAAAGTCAGTGTCCTTGTCTTGCAAGATAGAATAAAGTATGGATAACTGCTCAAGAATTCTCTGGAAAACAAGTAGCAAGAAACAAAACAAGAAGCCATTAAGGTAGACAAGTAAACCAGTAACCTTACTTAACGTTTCATCATCCCAACCTATTGGATTATCAGTAAGATTTTCAAATATGTCTATCAGTTTCTCATAGTTAGAATGCAAGACATTGATGACATGAGCCCTATAATACCATCTTGTGTCACCAGGACTAGGACACTCAAGCCTATGGGATGATAGTAAAGCTTTTCTTTTGGAGGAATTGCTAGTAAAGGTGCAGAAAGCACTAATATTAACAAAGAAAATCTTAACAGGTGAAATGGAGGATGCAGCTTGACATAATACTAGATTTAGTCTATGGGCAGCACAGTAAACAAATTGAGCATAAGGGTAATCCTGCTGAACTTGAGCTTGAACACCATTGAGTTGACCAGACATAACAGATGCACCATCATAAGTCTGTCCAATAGATTTCTCTTTCACATTATTATATTGACTTAACTTACCCTTAACCACTGATGATATAGCAGTTGTAGTCCTATCACAACTAACATCAACAAACCGAAGCTGTCTTTCAATGACACTTTCCTCTTTGTCTATTCGAACAATTACACTCAATTGTTCTTTGGTAGAAACATCAGTTGCCTCATCAACCTGTATACTTAAGAAAGCGTAGCAATCTATTTCCTTTAAAATCTCATCCTATATTATCTTATCAAGACAATCAATCAAATCATTCTGAATATCAGGAGAGACTCCAGTAAACCGCCCTCCCCCAATCGCCTAGAATCCATCTTGGCAAAACTTTCAAGTAGCTCTCTATAATTTCCCCTAAACGCAAGCTCTTGCCTAGACAAGTATAAAACAGCTTCTGTTATGGTTTTCAACATTTCCCTGTTTTGCCTTACCTCTTCGTTATGACGCTGAATCTCTTCACGTCTGGCTTGTGACATGAGACAGTCGACACGAGGCTGAAAACCGTAGGTCCTCCAGGTCTTGTAGGCACCCATGTGCGATTTTGCCTTCTCATGCTTCTTACAATCGGATAGAAAATTCTTCATGTTTTTGAATCCCGTCTGCGTCCATGAAGATGACGATCCAGGGCAAAACAAAAGACAAGGCCATCAGAACAATGCATTCTTTTCTGAGCTACCACAAAGCCAATCTTTCTTCGAGTACCAACTTTCCTGAAAGCTTCTATTGCCTGTAGTCGCTTGTAAATTTGGAATTGGCCGCCGCTTTACGAGTATATTTTGCTCGCCTGATTGTCGAACAGAAAATGCTGTTGAGCTTTTGTAGTTCACTTATTATATCGATTTCATTAGCGGAAGCCATTGTAATGTAAGTTATCACGATTTCCAAACGTATATTTCGAAAGCTCAAAATTCAAGTCACGCTTTTGAAAATGAGCCCGACTAGATGTTGACAGTGTTGCCACTCACTATTTTACAAATTCCCAAGATTTTGAGCAAAAAGTCCCAAGATCCTTTGAAATATCCCAAGATCTCCCACAGTCGTTTCTGGGGGACCCCTTTGTCATGGGTACACGATTAGCCGCACTAATGAACGCATAATGTAAGGACTGGAATGAACTGATTTTTGTTTTAATTTTAATTTCATAAAAATCGATAGTTTATATATATAAGTGTTGAAATGATCAAATATAGTTCGTGAAACACAACAGTACATAAAAAAAGTCAAACATGGTGATGGTTACATCGTTGAAACAGCCAAATCGGCAACATGCTAAGTGCTAACCAGACCCTATCTCAACAGTCTCTTCGTTTACAATGTCATAAACATCAGTCACATTTTCTTCCTGTTCCTGACGCTGACAATGTTTCTTAAAGTACTCCCTCCGACAATGACCAAATTGTACGTCTTTTACAAGTTTCGTAGACGGCTCCCATGTGTAGCAATGCGCACCTTGTCGAGCTATAGCTTGTCTTGCAATTAATCTGTTCCTCAAAGTTGAACAATGTAGGCGGTTGGTTTGAGGAGTCTTTATCATGTTAACTTGGGAAAAAATTCTCTCGACACAGGCAGATGAGTGAGGCAAAACGAACAGGTTGCACATAGAATTTCCCAAACGTTCAAACTTTTTATTGCCGTTACCATCTTTAATAGCTCTGATCTCATCCCAAAACTGTGTTGGGGAATTAGTCTTGCCTTTAAGAGAGTCTGTGGCATATAACAATTGCCTCCACTGATCATCAAGTTCATCCAATTGATCTTCAGACACTAAAGACGGAAAATGGTGTGCTAATACCGCTATCGAGTTTAATGACCGCCTGCTGGATAATGCCTCTGAAGGGTTGACTGCTGATAGCAAAGCTAGAACTCCATCACTTTTGAAAGAAAACCTCTTCTTTATTTGGTCACATAACTCAACGAGAAAGTTACGGCAATCGTTTCTGAAACGTGGATGTGGTTTCTGAAACTTGGCTACCCAAAGACTGTTGGGTGCACAGGACTGTACATCTTCCTCCAAGATGAATATCGTTGAGAGGCTTGTATAGCTTTACGTCATTTGGATCAATCTCGTCCAACGGTGTTTCTCGTACGACTTTGTCGTGGATAAATATGGCCAAAATGCTTCTATACTCATCCTATATAGAACTGTACAGTATGTGCAGCTTGAAATCTTGAGCCTGAAATTCAGCATTTAATCTGTCCACTTTTGACAATATGTAATTTAGGAATGCCATAATATGCTTGGTTCCATTCGTCTTCATGGTTTCATAGATCTTGACTGCCCCGTCTACACGATCACATGGAGACTCAGATTGAAAGAAAAGTTTTAATGCATCCCATTGCTCTAAAATTCAGGCAACAACTTGGCCTCGGAGAGCCACCTCGTCTGTGAAAGCTTGAGAACTTTATGACGAGGCGCTTCAACAATATCTTGTATGAGACGGAACTGGTGTTGTCGCCGACTGCTACGGGAAAAATAACAGCAGACATCTTTTACAAATGCTTCCAACCATGAAGGTAGGCGACAACTTGCATAGTGTGCGCAGAGAGCAAAGGAGTGACAAATGCAACCAAAGACAAATACACCAGGTACATCTTTTTTTAAAAGAGCCTGAAAACCTCCATTTTTGCCCATCATTGTTGAACAATTGTCGCCAGCAAAACCAACAACATTACTTTGTGGTATGGCTCGTTCTTGAAAAAAGTTATTAACAGCCGCATACAATCCATCAGCAGTGCCGTTTTCTACTTCAAGGGCAATCAATAAAGCATCAATCACTTTCCTTTCATGGTAAAATCTGACGACAACAGCAAGAATTTGGGAGACTGAAATATCTGTGGATTCTTCTACGATCAGAGAAAACTTGTTTTTCTGACAGATTGCTGATATTGACTCCACTTCCTCTCGTGCAATTCCTTCTTGAACAACATATGATGCCTTTGTTCTTTTTAACTGCATTTTTTGAGCAATTTTGCTGTCGGGAAACATTTTTTTCATTAACTCGCTGAGATGATCAGCCTGAAGAAAAGGCGTTCGGTGCTCAGCTAGAAAACCAGATAACAAAACTTCAGCTTTTGCTGTCATTTCGTCAACATCTGGCCCTGTTTGCTTTTGAAAAAACTTGCTCACTTGCAAAGTATTTTGCTTGGCTTTATAAGCATCAGTATGTTTCTTTGTTGCTTTATGTTTCATCAAAGCCGACTTGTTGGGACCGTTGAATGTATGTTCACACACTTTGCATCTCACTGTGAATTTATTTCCAGGATCTTTTGAAATCCAATCTGCTAATTCTGGTTCTTTTAACCAAGCATCGTTGAACAATTGCTTGTACCATATTTTATCTTCAGGTTTTGCTTTTTTTCTCGATAGACGATGATCATTCTCATCACTTCAGTTGCTTTCTTCGTCATACATTTTACTTCTGAAATGGGTATGCACTGTAGTGTTTTGAGCTCCCCACCCAAATGAAGCAAAACAAGTCAAGTTTACCTCAGGCTTGAATCCTCAGAAAAAGGCCGCCATTTTGTTTTTACAAAACCATACAGGAAAAAGTTTTTTGGATGTTCAATGTTCGCGTTCAATACATTGAGTTGAACAAGAACTGGAGGGAACAAGGGGCCTGGACCCGGTTGTCAAAAACATGGCGGTGATGGCAGATTTTGGTTGTCAAACTTCCACTTTAAAAATTATTTTTAATATTCACTCCCTCCTGATTTCTACTGTTCAATAGTAAAGACAACCAAGAAATGCAATACCAAATCAGGCAATGAAAATCAGGCAAAGAACGGCCACCATCAAATGGACTTGCTCGATATACTTCAATAAATAAGAATTCATGTTCATTGTAATAAAAATACCTCAAAATCCTATAGAAAATGGGCAAATTTGACGATGTGAATTCTCAAAGTTGCACAATAAAAAGAAGACTATTTACAATTTTCATTATTAATTATGTAGCATTAAATTGCACATTTATTAAACGATCTTCTAAATTCTAAATTTACAGAAAATTACAATTTATTTTGAGCTCTCTCTTTGCTAAGTATACTAGAGAATACCTCTTCAGTGTGAACATCATTCAAAAGTCCACAGAGATCATTTTGTAGCTTAGAATTAAATTTTGAATACTTTTTACTTAGAATTGCATTTTAAAAGTTGCATAGAGCATAAAAGTTGCTGTATCAGTTTTTTTTTCTACTAGAAAATTTCCCAAAATAGATAAGCAAATAACGTTACTAATCGCAAAACTTAAATACAACGACTTTATTCATTGATTTGAATAAATTACTCCCACTGATCTCAAAATAAATAAATATAATTTTTTGCACTATATTAGAAGAGCAAATAAGTCCACAAATCTCATTTATGATTCAAACTGTGTCTTAATTGATGATTGTCAACTGGCTTAATGACCTCCATTAAAAAGCGGACGTGAATCAGACCAAGCCACTTACGACTTAAGCCTCCCGATTGAGCGAGAATAACGCTGCTAATGAATAATCGCTCACAGAACTCAATGGCTGTATCATGTTTGCTCAAATACTGTAGCACTGACCATTGTATAGAAGGCCAAAACTACAACTTTTAGTGCGGTGGGGGAGGGGTGTTTAATTACGCTGCTGCTGAAATATCGCTTACAGAATTCAATGACTGTAACATATTTTCTCAGTTATTGTAGCACGGACCACTATATAGGTGGCCGAAATTATAACTTATATATGAGTGGAAGAGGGGGTATTCATATCTTCAATTGTAGTCGACTGATATCTTGTGAAAGCCAACGTAGTCTACATTAAACATAATACAAATATAGTTAAACAAACAGACCAATAAATTGACAGGCACCATATGGAAAAATATGAAATTGATATGAAAATTTGTTGTGAAAGCTTGGAAATATTTTGCTCAATTGCTCTTTTTAACTTTATTTATAAGAGATCTCCAAAGGACAGTTCTGTTATACGAGAAAATTTTTCAAATTAGTAAAACGCGATTATGGTAGCCAAAGACAATTGGAATGTTCTGCATCACACATAAAATAGAAAAGTGATGTTACAACATTTGAAGCCGGAAGTTCGATCATTTGCTTGCATCGTTCGTGTGCTTATCTTGTCAATTAATTTATACTTTAGCACTACAACATCATGATTTCTTTCACATGTTTCTGAAACAGATAGGAATTTAGGAAAAGGACTGAAATATATAAGAATTTAAATCGCTTACTTTTTTTGTGGTGTTAAAAATTTATTGAATTGCATGATTCCTTTTCTACCTGAGTAAAAATTTCATCAAACCCGAAATTTTCTCGAAAGCAAAAACCCGGACACAATAGAAACATGACAGACAAATTGTTTTTTGTAAATAAATCATCATAAGCTTAATAAAATAATTAAAAACTGCAAAAACCATCTTCAATTTGGCAAAAGTAAAACAATACCAGCAATGTTACACGAGAATAAGAAAAACAGGAGGTAGGGCTTGAGTTAGCAGAAATAAAGATAACGAGGTTCACTTTACCAAGGTGAATAAGAGAAATAGTACGCGTCAGATAATTTAGAGTTAAGGCATAAAATGCCTATTAAGCGAAAATGTTGCAGCCTGTGTTATACTTTTATTGAACAGAAATTTTAATATTACAAAGGAATTTCTCTACTGACTTATGCGTATCTCTTTTCGTTCTCAAGATATTGAAGCTTTTATTTTGTCCGATTCATCTAACTTGTGACGTCACATTGCATAATGAGAACTAGAATTAATTTACTTCAACTTTGCAGACTTTTTTTTCTTTGTGATGTGTTAATGATATAACATACTGCCAAATATTATCAACGTAAAGTTTTCAGGAAAATGAAGTGTATTTAAAACATTGCAGAGACTCATTTTGCATGCAATATGATGTCACAAGTTAGATAAATTGGTAATAGTAAGGACTTCACTTCAGTATTTTTAGAATGAAAGAGTCATACATAAAAGGTTTTAGAAAGCACTCTGTCATTTCAAAAGTTCTGGTTAATGTAAATATAAGTTAACTAGCAAAGTTTTCGTTTCATTGGCACTTTAATGATGCTCAAAGAACGTTTCAGAGAATAATTGTTGAGTTTTCGATGCTGATCGAACTTCAATGTTCATATTTGGCATCAATCATTAGATAGTCTATCTAAAAGATGAGTGTCGAGAATGGAAAGAAAAATTAAATGAAGCTTTTTTGTTATCTTTTGCTATAAACAAATTTTTATACTCTAAAAAATATGATCTTAAAATTAAAATTTAATATTTTCGAAAAACGTAAGGTTATTTACTAAAAAAATATATGAAATTACTGCAGAAAGAAGTTTTTGTGATTAATTGTATGGTATAAGCTAACCTCAAATGTCACCTGATTTGATTGTACAATTAAAGAACTTATGATTTGTCTAATGGGTGTTGACAAGTTTTTTCAAAAATGTGCGGTAGCTAATAATATCCTTTCCTGATTGGGAAAGTTTAAGCTATTTTGACGTATTTATTTCGTTTCTTTCACCCTTAAATATAATATTTTATCTAATTTTTTTAGAATCGGTGTTGCAAGAGTGGAAATACATTGATGAATCAACGAAACATAGAGAATTGTTTTTAAAATTGATTGAATATGGACGCAATTCCGGTGTTGAGGTTAAAGTGGTGGGCAATGTACGAGTAATTTTCTCAAAAGAGTTTTGTATTGGCGAAGGAAGTGGTGCAACCCGTGTTTATCTTGGACTGGGTAAGGATGGTTACGGTAAAGCAGTGAAACGAATACATCAAGATAGATACAAAGAGCTTGCGCTGCAGGAAAAGGAAATTTTAAATCAATTCAACGCAAAAAAATCGAAATATGTTGTGAATTATTCCTTCTTAGAAGAAGATACTGGAACGGAGTACGTCTATTTAATATTAGACTTATGTGAAGAGTCGTTGGAGAGTTATGTGAAATCTACTTTGGAAGATCTTCAAAAAGTTGTTCCCAAAATTCTCAGACAAATTTTGCAAGGATTAGCTGATCTCCATAGTGGCGAAAATCCTATTATTCATCGGGACTTAAAGCCCAGCAATGTTCTCCGAGACACACAAGGCAACTTTCTGATAGCTGACTTTGGCATTAGTCGAATATTGAAGAAAGGTTCTACGACACATAAAAGCAGTCCTAACAAAGGAACGGAGTATTGGATTGCTCCTGAATCATATATAGAAGATGAAGATTCCGTTGATAAAGCGCGTTACAAAAGAAGTTCTGATGTATATGTAAGTGTAGGAATGTAAAAATTTGTAAGTTGTAAAGAAACTCAATGTTGTCAAATTGCATTTTGATGTAACGCTTTTTATTATTTTAGAATGCAGGGATGGTAGCTTATTATGTTGCAACAAAAGGGAAACATCCTTTTGGAATTCAACGGTATAGACTGGACAACATGCTAAATGGAAACCCTGTTGGTTTGAAAGAAATCAAAGATGAAACACTAAAGGACCTTCTGTCATGGATGTTAAATCTAAAACCTGAGAACAGACCATCGGCTAGCGAAGCATTAAAACATCCATTTCTTGTATCGGATCACGAGAAATTTGATTTATTATGTAATTTTGGAAATCTTCAGAATTAAGATAAATGATCCCCTGTGTAGTGTTGTTCAACAATTGAATAGCGAATCCTCAGATTGGAGAAGCCAAATGGATAGTGATGTTTATATTTATTTGGTGAATGGAAGGACCTATAACTCTTCATGGACATTGCTTAAGACTTATTCGAAATATTGACCAGCCTTGGAAGGAACAAACAAAACGAAAACGAAAACCATTTTATAAGATTGGGGATTATAGGGCGTTTTTCTCCGAACATTTCCTAATCTCCCTGTTCGGGTACATGCTGGTGTCAGGTCAAATGAAGAATTGAAAAACAAACCAGAACTCAAGAACTTTTTAAATTTTAATAAAAGCGAACTACACCAATAAACTATTTAGATACAACAGAACCTGTTGGGGGTAAAAATGTAGCTACTAAGAAATCATTGATACTGTAGAAATCTTATTTAATAATTATTAAGAAAAACAGTTTCTACGACGTATTTAGATGATATTTCACCCCATTGCAGATGAATCTATAGCCTGTGGTATTCATTGATGCAATGTATATATTTAATTTTTACTGTAAATTGTTTTGGAAAAAGAGTGAAGGCGAATATGACATTAAAAGTTAACTTTTATGCTTGGCTGCACTGATAAATTTTGCTCTACATTCATCCAACATAATAAACTCGTATACGATAAAAAAATGTATTTCTGAAATTATTATAATTAGTAAAAGTCTGGCCTTGGTGTTTTGGGCTCTTGGGAGTTCTCTATCGTATAAAGCTGACCATTAGAAGTTGTGCATAATTCCATAAGTAGAATCTTTTGTGTTTAACCATCTCACACTAATTACGTAGCTGTCAATATAAAATAGTTGAATTAAATGACATTTTCATGAGATTGAGTGATTGACAGCATTTCGTCTAATAATTTGTATATGGACTCAATATTATTTTAATTAGTTTTATAGAAAAAAATTCATAGTTGTCATCATTTCTGATATTTTGCTTATTTCATGCGCTGTAACCATGACAATTATTTTGTGCCTAAATCCATACAACTAAAATGCAAGTGCTATGTATTTAAGATTTCTTAAATGAATGTTGAATATACACCTAAATACACGTAAGGTTAACTACGGCGCTCTCTATTGCCTATATTCTAAAAACTCTCTCACACTCACATTCACTACGTAAAGTTTCAAAATAATCTTATAACTGCTGCAAGACCTTGTGTTTACTCCACATATAGAAAATAGTGCAAAGTTATGTTGATTTTATCATCCTAGATCCCATATCATCTGGTAGGTATCCGCACATTAATGTCATATGAAAGCACTCGGTAAAGTTGTGTGATAGTTTTACTTGAAAGTTTTGTAAATCATTTATATAAATTTTGAGCTTTTGGACTTTTTATATTTTATTGAATTAACTTCGCAAAGAGCAAACTATGACAAAAAAAGAACGCAAATAACTTCTAAATGACAAAGAACAATGCTACAGCTTTCTCTAGTTACTGCAGCCTTTTAAACACAACGTTGCAAACATTAAAAACAACACGATTTATATAATGTATAATAAGTGCGAAGGTTTTTCTTGAATTGATGAAAGCTGAGATTTTTGCCTCTTAAGTTGTTTGGATTTATTCTAGAGTGTACTGCATCTATTTAATTAAGATTTTAGAAACGTTCTTATTTTACAATGAGTTGTAACATATGACAGCTAGATTTTCTGGATTGTACAACCATGTTTCACTTTGGCAGTGAGGACTGGCTTGTAATAGTAACTAATCTTCATCAATCTTCAAAAGACAATAGATTATTTTGTATTCGTTTACAAACCTGTGATACGAAAATTTTTATGTTTGCAATGACTGTGTACTTTCTAAAACAGTTTATGCATATCACATTTAGTTCTTGAGATATTGAGGTTTATGCTGTGTCGGATTTATCTAACTTGTGACGTCACATTACATAATGAGAGCTAGGAGTATTAGGTATATTTAACGATACTTTACTTCACAAAGATATAGTTTCATTTGTTGTGACGTATTTGATGGTATAAAATGCTGCTTATTAGTATCAACCTAAAGTTGTCAGGAAAATGAAGTGTATTAGAAAAATTTTTAGAACCATTATGCAATATGACGTCACAAGTTGGATGAAATAGAAATAACAAAAACTTCAATATCTCGCGAAGGAAAAGAGATAAGCATTAACTTTTTTAGAAAGTACAATGTCATTTGAAAAGTTCTGGTCATTGCAAACATAAAAAAATTCATATTATAGGCACTTTAAACGTTATAAGTAATTGTACATTTCCAAGTATAACATCAAGCTGAATTGTAAGGGATATTTTATACCACTTGGTAAATATGTATGCTTGATAACTTATGAAGCGGTAGATAAAGCTGATAAACCACCTGCTGAAATTCACTATCCACCAGCTAGAGGACACCTTTCACTTGAGGTAAACGAATGTAAATTATAATCCCATTTACCCCCAAAATTGGATAGAAGTGTCAATAACCATTATGAACATTTTTAGAAAGCCAAAGTTTCATTTAATCAAATTGATGCATTCGTATGTACTGTTATTTGAAGCATTCGTATGTACTATTATATTTCAGGAAAATGGCTGTTCTTTTCTACACATAAACTACGTAAAAAGAAATAAATCATCTTCTGTACTTTAAAGACTTCTTCCGAGTGAATGAATTTCAAAAAAATTCGTTTTCAGACTGGACCACATACATTTGCCAGTAAAATTATAACTGAGGACATAATTATATTAAACATACAAATAGCCATAAATGCCTTTCCTATTAAAACGTACAAGTTGAGATGTTTACGTCAGAAATTACTTAAAAACTTCAACTATAATACGGGGATTTCTGAAACAAAAACAGTGTATTGGGAATCGAACTCAAAGACTAACTTGTACCGCTCCTAAAAGATGTGTGTGACATTTCTGTTGAATTAAAGCTGTTTAGAATAAATTAAGCAGATCATCAATTTGTAAAACAATCGAGAAATTTTATCTTCCGAAGATTTTCAGACGGTCAAAAATGGTTCATTTTGATGTTAACTTTGCCGGGAGTACCTACTCTAAACAACTTCTTTTAGAAGATGAATTCTGTCTTTAGTTTTGATGATTATATATAACATAAAGTACAACTTTAGTCTTTCACCAAGGTCACTGTTTTCTTTAGACTTAACCAAATAAAAAATAAATAATGGCAAAACCTGAACGGTATAAACCAAAACCGAGCGCGAAGGCACGAGAACTTGGAGAATACTGAACAAGAAAAAACCACTGGGGATTTTAGCCGAAATTCCGTGTCCTGGGGGAGCCCTTACAAACAATAATTTTTTGCATACCTTTGAAGCGACTCAAAAAGCCAAAACGTCAAAAAAGTAAAAGAGAAAGATTAAAATGCACTTTCAATGCTGAAAATATGGTCTTGAAGGTATATAGCCATTTTTCTAAAATTCTCCATTTTTAACGAATACGGAAATCACCACAGTTTACCGACACACAAATCTATCATTGAACTGAACAATTTTCTACTTTGAACGAGAAAATTGTTTTGATGTGCATTTCGTAAAACGTGTGCTTTTTAACATCTAATCCATATCCAAGTCGTATCTAGCGCCACTTAAGCGTCCCTATTTTGCACCGTTTCATGTTTTCATTCAGTGCTTTGTGCGCCCGGTGCCACTAAAATCTTAGAGCCAGCGCTTGCTGCATGATATGTATTAGATGAAAGTACTTCAAGTATTTTATAGAGCCGAATGAGGTTCACCTACACTAGTGCAAACAATCATTTTAGAAAAATGTAGTCAATATCAAAAAACAATATCAACAATAATTACTTTAAGAAGCACACGTTGAGTTTGGTTAGCGAGGAACTGGGGATGGTTTAACCAAACAACCGTTTGACGATTATCCTTTGTACTTGACTTTGATAGCAACTTGATTGGCGAACATGGAAACCTTAGTTACTATGAAGTAAAATATGTGACAACGTCTGCGACCTGTCTTCACACTAATCATTAAAAAATACAAACAAAACACTTTTATTAAAACTATGTTTCTTTTTAGGTTCTTTATGAAGGCATTTCGCATACCATTACCTGGTGTACTAATCATTTACTTTTTGCTCGTTTCCGCTGTGAAAAAAGTATTGAAATTCCCAGGAAAGAAGTCTGCTTTAAAAGAAGACAACATACCACTTTTCACATTTACAATAATTACTGCCACGCCGCCACTAAACTGTAGATGTCTTAAACAAACAGAATACTTTTTAAGTTTCAATTTGTCGTATGAAAATGACCGACAGAAGAATTGGAAGTTTCTTCCAAACATTTTTATTCCGTAATTTCTCTCTAAACTGGTGTTTGTCATTTAAATTAATAAAGGTACTAACTCTACTTTGGTTATCTGAGCATAGCAACTACTCGCGTCAACTACAGCGCATGCCTGAGCTATCTAAACTTTCTACCTCCTCATGACATCAGAATTCCGCCCTGAAAAGAAGTGCCTCTTGAAGGAGGTAACCCATCATGCCCTTAACGTAACTTAACTTAGGGCATGTAGCACATACGGGTGACCTCCAACCGGGGTGGGTTGAACTACTCATGCATTATAGAGGATCCAAGAGTGCCTTAATAGTCCCTGTAGAAAGCCGTTCATGAAATTGGCTAACTACCAGGACTGCATGCTTTTACCGTACTAGGAGAAAGATATATTTTTACTTTACACCAGAACCACCATCTTTTCTTTGTCTTCAATAGGTCTTGTTCGCTAGATCCAGTCTTCTAGGGTCTTCTTACAGATGCTATTTGCATCCTCTACGCTAAAGTACCATTTGTACCCACTAATCCCAAGTAGAAGTTGTTATGTTTATTAATTTATGTTAATTTAATAGGATTTACGTTATTAATTATGTTAATGGTTATAAAGCTTAAATATATAAAAGGAGTTAACTTGTACTATCTAGGCAGTGGTAAAATACACCTAAATGAAATATCAAACACTACAGTTGGCGACAAAGATTCGATTCTGATGGACGAAGAAGCCCAAAGTACACAGACAAATGTTGGTTTTAATGTGCCCTTTATGGGACATATGGAAGAATATTCAACGAGTACAGATTGGAAGCAGTACGTTGAGCGGCTTGAAATATTCTTCGAAGTAAATAACGTAGCAAGAGAAAAGCAAGCCTCGAGCATACTTACCTTGATGGGTAGTAAGATGTATGCGTTGTTAAGATCAATTACAGCACCAAGAAGACCAAAAGAACTTACATATAACCAAATTGTAGAAACTTTAACACAACATCTTGAGCCAAAACCAATAGTTATTGCTGAACGATATAAGTTCCACAAGGCTGAGCAAGGACAAGCGGAATCGATTAGGGAATATCTTGCCAAATTGCAGAGATTAGCAGAAACATGTGAATTTGGGAGTTATCGAGACGAAGCAATTCGAGATCGATTTGTTTGTGGATTGCGAGATCGATCGATTCAACGTAAGCTACTAGGCGAAGTTGATTTGAGTTTAAAGTCTGCGGTAGAAAAAGCTTGTGCGGCTGAATTAACGGAGAGAGAAACATCAGCGTTACACGAAGAATTACTGAACCGAGTGCAAACAGCATCCCTCGAGTGTTTTCGCTGTGGTAAGAAAAATCATTCTCCCGATAAGTGTTATTTTCGGAAGTCCAAATGTCACGGTTGTCAAAATTATGGACATATATTAAAGAAGTGTCCCAGGAGAGATGGCAACAACATGAAGAATACAAAAAGTGAAAAGTCGAGAAGGGAAGATGCTAAGAAAAGAAAAAAAAAAATCCAGCGAAATTCACAACGTTAAAACACATAGCAACGTTGATAGTGACAGCGAAAGCCAAGAAGAAGATATGAAAACATGGCCGGTGTTCACATTAACGGATTCGAGAAAGAAATGTAAAGAGATGGAAGTATTAGTCCTAATGGATGGAAAGTCAGTAAAGATGGAAGTGGACACGGAGCTGCAGTATCAATTATGCCAGAAAATGTGTGGAGAAAGGTGTTGTCTGAAAAATGCATACGCAAGTCCAACTTTAGACTGCAAAGTTATTCTGGGCATGAAGTTCCAGTGAGGGGAGAAGTAGACGTTTGCGTTGAACATGGAAAACAAAAAGCTAAGTTACCAATTGTAATAACACAAAATAAAGGTCCTGTGTTGTTGGGACGAAATTGGCTGGCAGTTTTAAAGCTTAACTGGAGTCAAATAAAACAAGTAGAGGCAAAACCTGTCAAAAATGTGGAGCAATTAATAATTCAATATGCGTCCTTAGTTGACAAATCGTTGGGGACAGTAAAAGGAGTTAAGGCACATTTATACATGAAACCAAACTCAAATCCAAAGTTTTTTAAACCTAGATCAATCCCGTTTGCGCTGAAAGACAAGGTAAAGGAAGAAATCTACCGTTTAGAGAAACTTGGGGTCCTGGAAAAGGTAGAGTTTTCAGATTGGGCGACGCCAATCGTGCCAGTGTTGAAACCTGATGGTAGTGTACGGATTTGTGGCAATTATAAAGTGAGCATTAACCAAAGTCTAGACGTTCAAAAATATCCAATGCCGACAGCTGAAGAACTATTTACAAAGCTACGAGGAGGCGAGAAAGTTTCAAAGATAGATCTGTCGGCAGCATATCAGCAAGTTGTTTTGGACGAAGAATCACAACATTATGTTACAATAACACACATTTGGGTTTGTATAGGTATACAAGACTGCCATTTGGAGTTGCAGCTAGCCCAGCTATTTTTCAAAGAACGATGGATATGGTTTTGAATGGTTTACAGGGAGTAGGAGGTATACTTGATGATTTCATAATTACGGGTAAAAATGATGAAGAACATTTGCGGAATCTGGAGAGAGCACTGAAACGTCTTCAAAATATGGGAATCAAATTGAAGAAATCAAACTGCATTTTTATGCAACCTTCAGTGGAATATTTCGCATTTGTCGTGGATCGACAAGGAATCCATCCATCGCCTCGTAAATTCAAGCTATAAGGGAGGTACCAACTCCGGAAAATCCAACAGAATTGAAGTCATTTCTGGGGCTAGTGAACGATTATCGTAAGCTTATTCCAAATATGGCAAAGTTGGTTAATCCTCTGAATTGTTTACTGTCACAAGAAGTTACTTGGAAAGGGTCGGAAGAATGTCAGAAATCCTTTGAGACTTTAAAAGTCCTATTGGAAACGGCACCAGTATTAACACATTACGACCCCAAGAAACCCGTGAGATTAACGACAGATGCCTCATCGTGTGGAATAGGTGCTGTTCTATCAAATGTATCGGACGAAGGAGAAGAACAACCAATAGCTTATGCCTCGAGAACACTTTCTTCTAGTGAGCAAAACTATTCTATGATCGAGAAATTATTTTTGGATTGAAGAAGTTTCATCAGTATGTGTATGGAAGACGTTTTTCTTTAATCACAGATCATAAGCCGCTTACTATGATACAGGGACCTAAACGAGGTGTTCCTGTCTTGGCAGTCTCCCGCTTGCAGAGATGGGCGATTCAACTGGGTGCATATCAGTATGATATTAAATACCGAACTTCAAAGAACAATGCGAATGTTGATGCGTTGTCCCGGTTACCTAGGAAAAGTGTTGAAGAACCGGACGAATGGGAGGAAGAGGCAGCGGCAGTAAACAGCGTTCAACTGAAGCGGTCACCTGTTTCAGTAAGTATGATTAGAGAAGCTACGCAAAAAGATTCAGTATTGTCTCGTGTAGTATACTATCTGTTACATGGTTGGCCAGAAGGAAAGTTTCCAGAGGAACTACAATATTTCTTTACAAAGCAAGACGAGTTTACTGTAGAAGAAGGATGCCTATTGAGAGGAACCCGAGTGGTAATTCCAACCAAATATCAAGGAGTGGTGTTGTCGGAGTTGCATATAAATCATCCAGGAATGGTGCGGATGAAATCTTTAGCACGTTTACATGTGTGGTGGTCAACATTAGACCAAGACATTGAACAGACTGTGAGAGATTGCACCAGTTGTCAATTTAATCGCTGTAAATCTCCACTTAAAGTAAATAATCCATGGATTTGGCCTGTACGTCCACGGCAAAGAATTCATGTCGACTTTGCAGGTCCAGTCGAGGGTGGCATGTATTTAATAGTGGTAGATGCTAAGTCTAAATGGATGAAAGTTATATCTATGTCATCAACAATGGTCCACAATTTGTTGCGCAGAAAATGAAAGATTTTTTAAAAGGCAATGGAATTCAAATGCACTTATCTTCACCGTACCACCCTGCTTCAAATGGGGAAGCGGAAAGAGCAGTGAGAACATTTAAAGACTCCATGAAGATTCGTAAGAATGAAGAAGGATCTACTGGAGAGAAATTAGCAAGATTTTTGTTAGGATATCGTACCACACCACATACAGCAACTGGATGTACACCTGCAGAAATTCTTATGGGTCGACGACTTAGAACAAGATTAGATATATTGCATCCCAGTCTGGCAAATAAAATGGATAAGAAATCACATCAATTACCGAAATTGACAAAGCGTAAGTTAGAAATTGGAGATCCAGTGATGGTAAAAGATTATAGAGCAAGAAGAGATCGTTGGATACAGGGAGTAATTTAAGCCCAGTTACATATCGAGTGTTGGTGGACGATGTATTGTGGAAACGACATATTGATCAATTGCGAAGTCTGGCAGGATCAACAGTTCCAGATGGTAAGACAAAACAAGATGCTGAGAAATATCCCTCCAACTTGGAGACACAAAAAAGTCTGGTGCTCGATGAAAATACAGTGTCTAAACATATCAACCAAGAGATATTCAAAGAACCAACTGTAAGTACCACAACGACCTTGAAAACCACGCCTCTACCGCAGGTACAGACCTTACCTGACAAGATAACCAAAGAGCCCGGTAGTTGTAATGACAGTGAACAGGTATCAAACAATCGCCGGTATCCTCTGCGTAATCGCACGAAACCAAAACGTTTAATTGATGAAATATAGTTTATTTTGATTGATTGTATTCAATCCCGAGCTTTTAGGAAAATAACACTACAAGTTAGCTAAAGAACTATTAGAATTGTGCCGGAGGGAATGTTATGTTTATTAATTTATGTTAATTTAATAGGATTTACGTTATTAGATATGTTGATTGTTATAAAGGTTAAATATATAAAAAGGAGTTAACTTGTACTATCTAGGCATTGGTAAAATACACCTAAATGAAATATCAAACACTACAGAAGTTGCCATTCTTTGGCTAAGCTTCACTTGCATTTCCGATCTAAGCTACATAATCCTAAATATTCTTCTGCAAGGAAACGTCCGTGGCAAACATACGTAGCTGCTTAATGCAGTATATTCACAAAGAGGTTTCCGAAGATAAATCGAGTAAAACCGACACAGATGCATGTCAATAACAGGCTAATAACCGCTGATACAACTTCACGTTTACTAATTAAGACACAAATTTTAATAATGAGCTCCAGAACACAAATAATTTTTGGAGTTAAACTGAAAAAAACTTTTAAAACCTCGTAATGAAGACTATTTTTGAAATGATGGGAGAAAACTACTATGAAAATTTGTATTTAATTTTATACGCATCACTTTCCTTACAGTTATGCGAGTCCATCATCGTGGTGAATAAAAACCACAAACATCGATGTTTTTCAACCTTATTTGATGACGATTTTGTCTTTAACAGAGAAATATTCATGTCTAAAATTGAGAATGGAACGAAAATTAGTTTCTAAATCTAAGGTCTCATACTTTACATGAATAAAGATCACAGGTCGTTTACATTTACCACTTCAATAGAAGAAAGATACTCTGTTAAAACCAACATTTATCACACACATTTACCTCAATGAAGTTGGTTTCAATAAACTCAAGGTGTATTTCACAGACAAAGTGTTTTGACTTCTTTTATCGTTTCTTTCTGCACGTACTGTTGTACAGAATCATATGGCACGTTCTCTGGATGAGTTAGTTTTAAAATATGTCACAAGTTGCTTAAACTAATATCTTCTGATTGGTCAGTTCCTAGGTATGTTGTCTTCTGATTGGTCAGTACCTAGGTATGTTGTCTTTTGATTGGGTAGTTTCTAGGTGTGTTGTTAATTGCATTTCGCAATTCTTATTGCACTTCTAGCAACGGTATACCGGGCTTATAAAAAAAGGGAACACCTTCATGACCACGATTCTAATCCTGCTGGTGCCTAAATTCTGTTCCTGGTCAAGAAGTTACATTCAATTTCAAGGACAGAAAAGCTTTCATGTTAATACCTGAGTTATGCAATATATGAACGTATAGCTTGCAATTCTTTATGAGCCCATGGGCTTAGCAATAGCATAATGAGAGCATTGAAATAATCACAATAGGTCAATTTATGAAGGTCTTACTTTTTCTACGTCCTGTAAAATTAGCTTTATAATTACCATTCATTGGTACTTTTCATTCTCGTATATTTCATATAGGAGGAAAACTCATAGAGTTAGTATAATTTAAACAATTGCTGGCAAGACTGCAGTTTAACGGACACCCGAAGCGCTTGTATGGGGAGCGTAGGCTCGTTTTTGCTTAGGATTATGAGGGTAGGGTTTGGATCAGCGTCCAAGGTGTCCGCTAAACTGCAGTAACCCCAATTGCTAAATAATTGTTTAATACGTTGTCTACAGGCTGTATCACAAAACTGCAATGTTATAATTTGTACAAAGGAAATTAAACAATAGAATTTAAATGGCTATGCCTTTAAGTCATACGCTAAGCGATTTGTAATTGAACAAATTATAATTCACTTTGTAAATGTTAGAGAAGGATCACGTGTGTTCTATGGAATTAAGAGTCTCGAGCATTAGATAGAAATTCCCGAAAATTATATAGGAATTTTTATTTAATGCGAGGGTATCTCAATCCCATAGGACACAACTGATTATGCACTAAGCGTCTTAGAACATGGCCAAAGTCACGAAGGATTCTATTATAGTACTAAATTTGTCCCATGCATGTTTTCAAACAAGTGATTATTAGTTTGCAAAAATTGTTTTTTGGTGTAAAACCTTTTTTTACTAGCAAGATAAGCATAATTATAAGGACCATCAAAAACAAAAGAGAATACAAAAGAAGGCAATGAAGCAACTGACACATATGACACATGCATCAGCATAAGCACAGCAACTTGACGTAAGCATAAGTGAAAAAAACAAAGTGAAAAGAAAATCCTTTTTCTTTTATTTCCTTCAATGTCTAGAGAATATGCTTTGCTTTGTTTAATCGCTTGTGCTTATGTCGCTAGTGAAAACTAGGCTTAAGAAAGCTAATTAAATGCAAAAATTAGGTAGCATTTAATGTCTTTAAGTAGTTCTAAGTTTTCTAAAATTGCTAAGATTTTTGTTTTCGTGCAATGAATGAGCATACAATTTACATTGTATGCTCATACACAGAGCTACAAAAGGCCAAGTTTTTTATGTCAGTTTCAAAATCACTTCAACAACTTTCTTCGGTTGATGTTTACATTAGAAAAATAAGAAGAAAGAAGCATTTGTTGGTACGGCGAATACACGACATACTTTAGAAGTTATTGAACACGTGGAAACACGTATGTTGTTTCAGTTTAAGCAATACACATGTGTTTTCTTTTAAATTAGTGAGCAATTATTTTCTAATTCGTTCGTAAGATTTATTTTAGCTTTAAAATTGTGCACAAGAATACATTTACATCATCGAAATGCATTTGAAGCGAGTTAAAATACATCTCATTGTTAGTTGTTCTGGTATGTAATGTAGAGTTACGACAATCATTAATATTCTTTAACCTCTTTAGTATTTGCTGTTTAGAGAATACAAGTTAGAAAATGAACAATAAAAAACAATATCTCGTTAGTATTCTCTAGATAGAGAATACTTATGAGAAATGGAGAATACCAATGAAGTATTGTATTCCATTGTTTTTACTCCAACGCCAACATGTAAGCCATTGCAATTCTAATGTATGAACTTGTGCGTGTACAAATTATGGTTTTTGCAGTCTTTTAGAGGAATATTATCTCATTTTCTTTTGTCTTTAATGCATTCGGCGCATATAAAGTTCAACGTTTGAAAATGGCAATGAAATAATCACTAATAAGTTGATTATGCCTTAACGTTCATTCTGTGAAAATAAGCATGAACGGAAAAACTTTTTTCCGTTTACAAAGACTAATTAATGATTGAAAATTAAATCTTTTTTTCTCTTTCTGCATATTTATTTGCTCAATTCACATTGTTTGTTCACTTCGGTGACTGTATTTTTTAATCTTTTGTCAACGCTTGGTTTTGTTTGACACCTGCTGAGCTGAGCATTTCCATTTAAACGAAAGCTGTTTTTGTAGGATTTCATGTTTCTCACGCATGAGTTTGGGGACCTAAGATTAAAGATAGGGTGGGTGCATGCACGTGGGGATAAAACATTCGTATTCGGCAAGATCGAATGCCTAAACTATGTTTATAATACTGCACTAAATTTTCAGTTGTAACATAGCACAAATATATTGTCTAATTTATCATATAGCTAGTTCCTGTAATTAGTATAGTGTAGAACACAAGTTTTTAGCCTGTGTTTTTACGACTTTTAAGTTTTAGCCTGCTACAGCTACCACAACCTTTGAAAAATACTTTCCCATTTACGAACACCTACAAAATACTAACGGAAAATTCCAACACTCACTTTGTGTTTGACAATCTTAGATGATGAAAATACCTCTAGCTCAAGTTAGCTATCTACACAATAAACGCAAACACAACTAGACCTGAACAAGTTGTAAATAATTTACTCCTTTTACGGTTATAATGCATGCAGGGGGTATAAAGGTTACAATTGGAAACAATATGCAACAAAAGGTTACATTAAAGCAAATTTATGGGTAAAACTCTCATCATTTTATTATGATACATGCTAAAGATATGGGCTTAGAGAGATTGATAATAAAAAGGTGGGTATGATTTTCACATATTCATGTCATATAATTCGTTAAAAACAATGAATGTCAAAAGAATTCAAGACAACAAATTATGCATATATGAATATGAACCGCCCAATTTACATTTGACCTAACTGTTGCTTTTCTGGAAAATATCCTTAACATATGATTTCTAAGAACAATCAAAAATTACAATTTCTAAGAATAATCAAAATTTAGAATTTCGAAGAACAATGAGAAATTACTATTTAATGATTACATTATGCACAAAAGCATACTGGTATAAGATAAATGTCCAAAGAAAACTATTTTCTTAAAAATCATTTTGTGAGAGCCGTTGCTGTCTCCATCATTTGAATAATGATGATTTATACGTTGTATTTACAAGTACACTTAATCTCAGGTAAGGTCAATTATCATTTAGTTCAGCAATGACTTAATTGTTCTATGTTAACAGAACGTTTCCTAATCATTGCTTCCGCTGGCAATACCTGCAAAATTCAAACGTTAATGAGACTTGTTGAAGAATCAAGATGTAGTGTCGTTCAGTAGAGGACGGTTACAACAGTTACAGCAATTATATCTCCAGTTTAAAATACTTTGCAGCTAACCCTGTTTGAGCTATTTTGGTTCTTATTTTAAATTTTGTGTTATCTTTACGATTATCTAAGTGTAGGCACGTATCTTTTTCATTACGGCTTATGATTGATTCCAAGTACAATGGAGTACAATACGCAATAGAAATAATAAAGATCGAGTAGTTTATTGTTATCGCCAGTACACAATCGGAGAATACACTCATATTATATTATATAGTTACCACATTATTTAGGGGCTGCAAGTACAATACTTCAAAACACAACAAATGTTATTTTCAGTGATATCTGCAGGGAATTTGTTAGCTGGAATTCAAATGATAAACGCCAATAGCACACATGTGTCAAGCTTACTTACGTTACGTATTGTAAATTATTAATCGATTATAGAAAGTTCTTCACCTTTTTAAACTTCGCCCATTTCATTTGTTTCCTCGTGGTATTCATCAGTTACTCTCATAACTGCCTCCCACCAAAGATTACCATTAAGAGTAAATGTGCGACCAGTGGCTTTCTCGTATCGGAAGATATGAGGTGTATACGGTTTCGACCAGGTATTTGTAAAACGGTCGTACTTCATAACGTCGCCCCAAAATGGACGCATAACTTTAAATCTCACTTCGACATTTGTTGCACTTGCAGAAATATTCACTCTCTCCATCACCACTTACTTCTTCTGTGACTTTTCTTTCGTTTAAATAATAGGTTACAATCATCTTTGAGATCCACGGACCTTTGGAGTAATATTGAATGGTTTTTCTGGTCAACTGCTCTTGGCTTATATCGTCGAGAATTGAGTGTTGTTGGGTCTTTGACGCAAAATTTTCATTATTTGAGCAGGTTGAATTTCTTTGAGGGCAATAAATTTCGTCAGTTGATAAAAACCATTTCTTTTGTTTCTCCATACTCATTACTGACTCCCATGACTGCCTCCCAACAAAGATTACCACTAAGAGTAAATGTGCGATTTTTGCTTTTGGTATCGGAAGATGTGAGGTGTATATGGTTTTAACCAGGTCTTGTTAAAACGGTCGTACGTCATGACATCACCCCAAAATGGACGCATAACTTTAAATCTCACTTCGACATTTGTTGCGCTTGCAGAAATATTCACTCTCTCTCATTACCACTTACTTCTTCTGTGACTTTTCTTTCGTTTAAATAATAAGTTACGATCATCTTTGAGATCCATGATCCTTCGGAGTAATATTGAATAGATTTTTGGTCAATTGTTCTTGGCTTGTTTTATCAGCAATTGAGCGTCGCTGTGTTTTTAACGCAAAACGTTCATTATTTGTGCAGGTTGAATTACTTTGATTCAAATCGATTTCTACTGTTGATGAAAAGTTTCTCTCTGTTTGAGAGTCATGTGTCAGGGGTTTTGTAGATGCTCCATACTTCACGGGAAATTCGTTTTCTCGATTTATGTGACGACCGATTATTTTTCTGCCATTTTCGTATACAGTATTTCGTTGACAAATTAATGATTCACTTATAGTTATCCCTTCGATATCGTTGCAATTCTCGGGTCCAAGAAGCTTTTCTTTATTTTTATTGTCTATATGCGCAAAAATTTCAAACTTGTATGATTCCTTATGACGATAGCAATGATTCTCTGTTGGTTGGAGTGTTTTTGAAGAAGTCGGTAACTTGCAAAAAGGAGACCAACTTTTGTAATAGTTTACAGTGATTTTAACATTGGAATGGTTTTCAACGACTAAGCATTTATATCGATCATCCGCCATTGAGTTTTGTTTTTAAACTCTTGATTTATCCAATTTTCTCTATGAGACACTGTCGTCTTAATGTTCAAAATTCTGCTTAATATGTCATCACATTAGTTCCTAAAAAAAAATCATTGTAAAACTGAAGTATTAACATTTTTTAATTGAAGACTTGGAGATTGCAGATTACGCATATAAATTAATGAAAAAGAATGGAAATCTGTATTGATAATGATAAACCATCAAAATCATCGAAATCTGTATTGATAATATTTTTCACACGGACATGGCTGTACCACACATGTCCGAGGAGGCTTTTAATGAATTAATGATAGCGGCTACTAAAGGAGTTAAATTTAGTTTTAGTGATATCATGTACAAACAAATTGATGGGGTGGCTATGGGTTCTCCTCTTGGACCAGTATTTGCTAATATTTTCGTAAGGTATGATGAGTGTAAGATGTTTGCCTCTTCTGAACCTCCAGAAGTGCTGTGGTACAAACGTTATATTGACGACACCTTTTCCCTTTTTCGTAACGACAAAAATCGCAAATTATTTTTACATAAACTCTGTCCTCTTCACCCTTCTTTAAATTATACGTCTGAACATGAAACAATTTGTCAGTTAGCGTTTTTGGATGTTCTTGTCCATAAACGCAATGGTCACATTTATCGATTACATCACGATTACAAGCATTCATCGCAAGGCAACCTTTACGGGTTTGTACACACGCTTTAACTCTTTTTCTTCACATAGAGAAAAGATTTCTTTAGTAAAGTGTTTAATAAAGCGAAAGCTTAGATTGTCATCAAAGGAGTTCATTGAGGGTGATCTCAACTATTGAAAAAGATATTTCTCTCAAATGGATATCCGGAAAAAATGCTTGATAAACTTTTTTCATCCACAAAAATTGAGCAGAACAGGCCTTTTGGACCAGACAAGTGCCCTGTGTTTATCAAACTTTTATGGATGTGATGATATTGAAAGAGAAAATAAGAATATTACGGAGAATTTGTTTTTTTGCGAGCCATGCTATCTTTCTATTTTCGAAAAGAACTATTCTACCACCTACCACAAAGAATCTCTACCGGCACCACTTTTAAGCAATGTAATTTACGAATATAAATATGAGTGTGATGCTCGCTATGTAGGTAGAACGTCTCTAAGGTTGGGTGATAAGATCGAACAGCATGTAACAACTTCAATCAGAAATGGAACGGTCTCCTCAAGACAACAACCAAAACGTGATTGTAAGAAAAGTAATTTAGTTTCATGTGACTCCGCGATAGGTAAACATCTCTTGAATAACTCCGATTTTGCTGATTCTTATCCAGAGGACAATTTTAGAATCATTAAGAAATGCTGTTCATTCTTTCAGTTACGCGTCATGGAGGCTGTTTTAATTAAGTTAACCAATCCCGTCCTCTGCCGGCAAAAGGTTTATTTCTTTAATTTATCCCTGTTTTGAGCGTCATCTCCCCTTTTAGAGATGACGTACACCCTTTCTTGGCATTATAAATATCGGTAGATTGTAAATTTTCATTTAGCAGACGTTGACACCTGAGGAGTAGTCTGCCGAAATGCATCGTGTCGTTTAATTTAGAACTATTGGGTTAGTGCTCTTTACTTAAAACAGTTCTTTTAAGAGCTATCAACTTATTATATTACTTTTACCGTTCACTAGGGTGTTCTCTATCTTTGGAATTATTTTCAAATTTGTCCCCACGACAAAGTCCCTATTTTATTATTTAAGAAAGCGCTATAATGGTCGTCAGGTTCGTGACCTGAATAAATTGGTGAGACTTAGAGGAAAGGTTCGCTCGGTGGTAGCAGCAATCCGGAATTTTACGATAACTGACCGAGCACCCCGCACTCTTATGGCTAAGTACGTCAGCAAAAGTGCTTTTTTATTTTATTTTGTTTTGTTTTTTTTGAAAAAGAAATCTTCAAATAACTTTTGGTTGTTATACTTATCTGTAAATGTGCTGATTCGCCAATGATTTTATTGATTTTTTCTGTATATACCTAAGTCAAAATAACTAATGGGAGAACTACATTTGAATTATGTCTACAAATCATAAATGCATGAAGCAAGTTTAAAATTGAGTTGTAATTTCAACATAATTTTCATGTTTCATAGTCCCATATTCCCATGGTGTTCATTTTTTAGTAATATTTTAGTAACATCCTTCAAGATTATTTGAAATGTATAAAAACACAAGCTCTATAGTTACGTCATGCATTGTCAAAATTGTGAAACTCTGTGCAATATAAGTACTAACAGTCTCTTTGAAAGTTTCTAGCAACAATGAAAAAACACTCCAATACTTGGATGAAATGTTTATTTATAAAATAGAGATGCAGCTTACAGGGCCTTTTTTAAGGTTTTTTTCGATCAAGACTATCATAATTAATTATCCTTATATGGTATTCCTAAAGCCCAATGAAATATGAACCAATCAAAAAATCCAGTTTATTAAAATTTCGTTTTAAAATGAGTAATGTAAGGTTAAATAGTTGGAACGCTACTGAATAACACAAACATAGCATAATGCTATTTTTTGTGTTTCTTAATAGCATTGCGACTATTTAACTTTATATTTATCGTCATATTGGCATGCGGAATGCATGTGACAATCTATGTTAACATCGGTATAAGATTCATTTTTTTCAGTATGAAGCGGGATGCACTGAAGGGCAATCATGTATTGCCTAACATTAACATCGGTATATGTTACTGTATATTTAATATTGAATTCGAAACAAAAATGAACAAGAATATTCAGTTGATTAATCTCTGATAAACCTTTCACCTTTACTTATCACAAGCTCGGGACTTAAAGCGCAAGGCTCAGGGGCGGATCTAGGGTATGTCAAATCAGTCACGCGACTGATGTTTATAGTTCCAAATTTATTTATCAAATTTAATGATTACAATTTTTGTGATCATTAAATTTCCGTCATTCCCGGATTTCATCGTCAAAATTCTGTTTTATACATGAAAACTGATATAAATACGTTGGTACTTAGTAAATAGATCAGTGGATTTTAACATATATGGAATTATATTAACGGCTGACTGATAAGCGGGCTTGATGACTCGACTGTTTCGATGGATAACGGAGTTCAAGAACGCTTATTTAAGCCACTCTATTGGTCAATAGCCAGATCAGTGGACGATCTGGAATAATCTCGACCGATAAGCGGGGTGGCCGGACGGATAAGGGAATCCAATTGCTATCGTGTAATTGGTTAGTTTAAATTTTCGTCTTACTGTGATTGGTTTGACCGATTTCGACTGATAGCCAACTGAACTAACATAGTTAAGCTCACTGTCTGAATTGAATGTTTAATCGTTTCATAGTAATTTTCTAAAGCATGATTGAAACTACAATCAAATGGAATTTAGGGAAATCTTTTACAAATTCATATTTTGACATGAATGCTGCTGTCCACATTGTGAATTTTTTCAAGAGGTTGAAAAATTTATGGATGAATTGTAAATGCTTGGCAAAGACGATCTCGCGAGCGACATTTCAGTCATTGATGTTCGAAAGCAAGCCATCATTGTTTAGAGTTTTCGCAGCAGAAATTTACATCCAAAATCGTAAGTAAAGGACAAGTGAAGTGTATGCATGAATGTAAAATATCAAAGTCAATTTATGCGAGTGTGTGATGCGATTTATGTCAATATGGCGTATGGTAAGCAGATCGATGCTTCTAAAATTGTTATTGCCGAAGGACTTTTAGCTATGATTTCTCTAGTGCTTGGGGAATCGTGGCCGTTATATGGCAGCGAAATCCTACATTCCTGCAAGTATATTTTAATCGACAAAAAATCTGTAGCCATAAGGCGCCATACTATTAATAACTTTATAATAAACAAATGTTTGGGGCTTTTCAGTTTATGATCATTGATTATTCAATCATTGGACAGTTATACTGCACATTGTTTAAGATTTGAGAAAACTAACATTGATTACATGAGAAGCTGTTTACTATAACCTGTGATTATGAGTCTTTCTGATCCATGAAGCTTTTTATTTTGACAATTTGACTGGAATGGTATTAAACCTGAGTATTTCACATACATGAAATGTTGTCCCATGTCACATATTGTCCCCTTTTATAAATGAACACCTCATGTAGAGATGTCAAGGTATGTTGATCTACGGCTCATACCAGATTGTTTGCCAGAAATTCCTAAGGGCTATTGATGTATGAAAAGCCATTTCTATAAAACAAAATTGTATTCCTAGGTACGCAGATAAACCTTGAAATTAGGCAAAACAGAAAAGTATTTTCATGATCACTAGGTAATTTTTCTAATGATCATTATAATTTCTAAACTAAATTATTTCAGATTTACATTTAAACTAGTTTTGATCATATGAAAAGATATTTATCATGACCAGTAAGCATGACAGGTGGACCAATTTTAACATTCATGTAATTATATGATTAAAGGCATGTTGGTTACATTCTGTTTGTACTAGCAAATACAATGCTACTGGTAATTGCTATATAGCACACCTTGCATATACTTACAGAAGATAATAGTCTAGTGAAAGGCCTAATAAACATTAATGGCATTAAGCTGTCCTTAATCGCAAATTTTTACTCGAATAATCTTTGTTTAATCTTTGGCAGAAAAAAATTTTAGGTTTTTTCTCAAAAGGTGAATTTGCTGGCACTGTATGTGGAGATGGTAAAGGTTTACAATAAACTTGCATGGTTTGAAGTCTAAGCTTTTCCACATCTTTGAACTGTCCCTTGTAGTACCTCATTTCCAACTCAACTCATTACATAGATTTGTGAATGGGGGTCTCTAGGGAGGTCTATACCTGACAACTTGGTAGAATTTTTAAAGACTATCTCTTTTTTGGAATAGCATTATTGTAAAAAAAATTTTATGTTCCCAGGCATGCTAATGAGACTTTTATTTGGCATGATAATGAGCCTAAATATTTGGCCAAACATTCAAGTATTTCGGGATTTTTTAAAAAAAACGTAAGGAATTGTGCTGTTTTTACGACAAAACGATGCCCAGAAAAAACATTTTGTTTTGCTCTAAAACGCTGAAAATGGCATTTGCAACGCTTTGAAACTCAAAATTTCCCAGGAGAGAACGCCTCGGACCCCCCCCCAGGTGCGGAACGCTTCCGACGTTCCATAACTGATGTTTGAAAAATCCTAGATCCGCCCCTGTCAAGGCTCTCTACAATTGAGTTGACTCGTCTCGTTCACAAGGAAAGGAGTAGAAGGCTGACATTCAAATGTTGTGAGATAAGATAGTTATTGTAAACTAAATAATTTTGTTGATCTAAAAATGAAACTGTCGAGAACTATAATAAAAATGAATGACAGTCTTCAAATACAAAGATAAACGAATATATTTTTGTCTTCGAAGTTAACATAGAACAAAGAAGTGAGCTCAAAATCCAAAAAGAATGTCTAATAAAGCAGATGACAATTTAGCTAGTTTGGTCATAGACACGTTTTTATTCTCAAAAATGAATTCTCTTTTTAGGAATCAATGTAATATGTCTACAATCAACGAACACGTCATCCAAACTCACCGTTTTTTATTGAAGACGAAAGTCAACGATAAATATTGTTCGTGTTTTTATTCACGCTATGCTTCTTGAACACGAAAGATGCTCGTTGTTGTTGTTGACAGTTCTTAGACTTCAGACAAACATTCCACGAAGGTAAACTTCATAACCAACTATCACGTCTGTAAGTGATAATTTGAACTGCGCAACAGCTTTATAATTAGATTTTACAAAATAAAACAAATTCCGAAGAGGGACATCTCGTTTTCTTGATATTCAAGATATTACAAGAGTTGGAAACAAAAGATGGCGCATTAGATTGTTATGTACAGTGCTGCCATTCCAATATTTCAAATTTCACTACGTGTTGAATTTCACTACTTGGGTGTTTTCACTCAGTGATTTCACAAAACACGACTGGATTACATTACAGGATTACTATTTTGTTATAACTACACGCTAAGAATGTCTTTTAGGAAGTAATAAAATGCAAGTAATTTTCAACCGCAAAGCAAAGTAATAATTCATTTACTTAGAGAGAATGGCATAAATATATTAAATATAGAACGACAATATCCAAAATATGGTAAAAAACAAATTCCGAAAAAAGTGTCGGCTGAACATTATTGTCGGCTGGAATTGGTTAAATTGTCGGCTGGACATGGTTTTTGATACTATCCAAGACCTGATTGTCTGCGATTTGTATTGGATTAACTTTCTCCCAGGCTTCATGGTTTATATAATCTGCTTTTTTGCCATACTTTAAAATGTACAATCTACACTGAAATTTGTTACTTTTGAAGGTAGCACAAAATATATATTATAACTTCCCATAACTTAACAATCTCAGTGAACAACATACAGTTTCAGCCTTTATTTTAACATAAAGCAATTTAACAAAGCTTTTCGTGTCGCAGGAAACTAGTTATTTGCACGAGAATGGTATTTAGAAACTATATTCAAGCTGTCGTTGAAAACTATGGGACATAATAAAACACACACTCTGGCTTAGCTAATTCGCGTCTTTTCAGTTTAAATGTGAAAAGTAATTTTCCGTCATTTGTTTTCCGCTTTAATTCACCACTTTTACGGCAGCGTGCACGTGTATCTATGACGTCATTAAAAATGTAAGCAAAGAAGTCAAAGTTCGGACATTGAAAGCTTCGTTCATTATGATGCAATAGTAAAATAACATTGTAGCTCAGGAAAGGATTAGGTTATATTAAAAACGATTATTAGCATGTATGCCAAAATGTTATGTAAAATACGCAAAACAACCCCATAAAATTATCGTAATGCTGGAGCCGCGCGTCGCGCTAAAAAATTAACTTAAGCGCTATAGAGATGTCCATTTACGGAAAATGTACTTAGGTTTGATGCTTACCTTTTCTTGCAACGCATTGACTTACTAAAGATTATCGAGACATGATGTACACCATTTCCTGTGTAGATCTTGTGCGTATACAAATTATGGTTTTTGCAGTCTTTTAGAGGAATTTCATCTCATTTTCTTTTGTCTTTAATGCATTCGGCGCATATAAAGTTCAACATTTGAAAATGTCAATGAAATAATCACTAATAAGTTGATTATGTATTAACGTTCATTCTGTAAAAATAAGCATGAACGGAAAAACTTTTTTCCGTTTACTAAGACTAATTAAGGATTGGAAATTTAATCTTTTTTTTCTCTTTCTGTATATTTATGTCTCATTTCACATCGTTCGTTCACTTTGGTGACTGTATTTTTTTAATCTTTTGTCAACGCTTGGTTTTATTTGGCACCTGCTGAGCTGAGCGTTTCAATTTAAACTAAAGCTGTTTTTTGTAGGATTACATGTTTCTGACGCATGAGTTTGGAGACGTAAGATTAAAGAAAGGGAATGCATGCAGGTAGGGATAAAACATTCGTGTTCGGCTAAATCGAATGCCTAAAGTATGTTTATACTATTACACTAAATTTTCACTTGTAACATAGCATAAATATACTGTCTAATTTATCATATAGCTAGTTCCTGTAATTAGTATAGTGTAGAACACAAGTTTTTAGCCTGTATTTTTATCATTTTTAGCCTGCTACAGCTACCACAACCCCCGAAAAATACTCTCCCATTTACAAACACCTACAAAATACTAAATTCCAACACTCACTTTGTGTTTGACAATCTTAGACGATGAAAATTCCCTTAGCTAAAGTTAGCTATCTACACAATAAACGCAAACACAACTAGACCTGAACAAATTGTAAATAATTTACACCTTTTACGGTTATAATGCATGTAGGGAGGTATAAAGATTATAACTGTAACCAATATGCAACAAAGGGTTACATCAAAGCAAATTTATTGGTAAAACTCTTATCATTTTAGTATGATACATGATAAACACATGGGCTTAGAAAGATTGATAATCAGAAGGTGGGTATGATTTTCACATATTCATGTCATATAATTCGTTAAAAACAATGAATTTCAAAAGAATTTAAGACAACAAATCATGCATATAAGAATATGAGCCCCCCAATTTACAATTGACCTAACTGTTGCTTTTCTGTAAAATATCCTTAACATATGATTTCTAAGAACAATCAAAAATTACAATTTCTAAAAATAATAAAAAATTTGAATTTCGAAGAGATTTAAAAAATTACTATTTAATGATTACATTATACACAAAAGCATACTGGTATAAGATAAATCTCCATAGAAAACTATTTTCTTAAAAATCATTATGTGAGAGCCATTGCTGTCTCCATCATTTGAATAATGATGATTTATACGTTGTATTTACAGTTACACTTAATCTCAGGTAAGGTCAATTATCATTTAGTTCAGCAATGACTTATTTGTTCTATGTTAACAGAACGTTTCCCAATCATTAATTCCGCTGGCGATATCTGAAAAACTCAAAAAACGTTAATGAGAATTATTGAAGAATCAAGGTTATTTCAACTGTGTAAGTGTAGTTTCGTTCAGTAGAGGACGGTTACAATAGTTACAGCAGTCATATCTCCATTTTAAAATACTTTGCAGCTAACCCTATTTGAGCTATTTTGGTTCTTATTTTATATTCTGTGTTATCTTTACGATTATCTAGGTGTAGGCACGTATCTTTTTCATTACCTTTTATAAATGATTCCAAGTACAATGGAGTACAGTACGCAATAGAAATGATAAAGATCGAGAAAGTTTCTTGCTATCGACAATACTTGACACAATCGGAGAATACACTCATATTACAATATATAGTTACTACATTATTTAGGTGGTGCAAGTACTATACTTCAAAACACAACAAATGTTATTTTCAGTGATTAATTGATTATAGAAAGTTCTTCACCTTTCTATACTTCACCCATTTCATTTGTTTCCTCATGGTATTCATCAGTTACTCTCATAACTGCCTCCCACCAAAGATTACCACTAAGAGTAAATGTGCGACCAGTGGCTTTCTCGTATCGGAAGATATGAGGTGTATACGGTTTCGACCAGGTATTTGTAAAACGGTCGTACTTCATGACGTCGCCCCATAATGGACGCATAACTTTAAATCTCACCTCGATATTTGTTGCACTTGAAGAAATATTCACCCTCTTCCCATCACCACTTACTTCTTCTGTGACTTTTCTTTTGTTTAAATAATAGGTTACAATCATCTTTGAGAACCATGAACCTTTGGAGTAATATTTAATGGTTTTTCTGGTCAACTGCTCTTGGCTTATATCGTCGAGAATTGAGTGTTGTTTAGTCTTTGTCGCAAAATTTTCATTATTTGAGCAGTTTGAATTTCTTTGAGGGCAATAAATTTCGTCAGTTGATATAAAACCCATTTCTTTTGTTTCTCCATACTCATTACTGACTCCCATAACTGCTTCCCAACGAAGATTACCACTAAGAGTAAATGTGCGATTATTTGCTTTTTGGTATCGGAAGATGTGAGGTGTATATGGTTTTAACCAGCTCTTGTTAAAACGGTCGTACGTCATGACATCGCCCCATAATGGACGCATAACTTTAAATCTCACTTCGACATTTGTTGCGCTTGCAGAAATAATCACTTTCTCTCCATTACCACTTACTTCTTCTGTGACTTTTTCTTCGTTTAAATAATAAGTTACGATCATCTTTGAGATCCATGATCCTTCGGAGTAATACTGAATGGTTTTTTTGGTCAATTGTTCTTGGCTTGTTTCATCGGCAATTGAGCGTCGCTGTGTTTTTGACGCAAAATTTTCATCATTTGTGCATGTTGAATTACTTTGATTGAAATCGATTTCTACTGTTGATGAAAAATTTCTCTCTGTTTGAGAGCTATGTGTCAGGGGTTTTGCAGATGCTCCATACTTCACGTTTGAATTGTTCTCACTTAGTAAAAAATCATTTGCTCCTACCTGTAACTCATCAATTGAAGTTTCTTCAAACACTTTATTGTATGATTGTTTTGTTCTTTCTCTTCGCTGATTGTTTTCCTTTTCCTTTAACTCCTTCCGCGCAAATTCATTCTCATTTGTTACATCATCATTCTCACCGTTTCCTTGAGTTAGATAAGACTCGTGCATTAGTTCCTGTAACCCGTCAACATCCTCCCCATTAAATGCATTTTCTTCGTTTTGCAGTAGATCCAATAATTCCTTATCTTGATTCTCATTCTCACTTACAAGTGTTGTCAGATCTAGCTTTTTAGCCGAACTATCTACGAGCTCGTAAGCAGCGTCGTAAGATTTTTCAATTGCAACTCTCGACACCAAAATAGCAGCTCTTTTACCAACAAGGCGCAATAGTTTAACTGTATTTTGTCCAGTCGTACGTAAAAAAACTTGCTCTATTAAGTCACCTTCAATCGTTGGTGCGGCCGCAGATGAACCACTATCAACTAAAGGTTTAGTAACTGCACCTGCTGCTATACCAGCCGTCGCTCCTATCAATCCTCCCAATAGGGCGTGAATTATGACCTTCTTTAGAGCAATGTTTTCTTTGTCAACTAATTTCCTTGAGAGAATAGAGCTCAAAGACATTATTACTCCACCAATACCACCATTAGCTGCTCCCATTCCAATAAATTTACCAATCGAAACCGCACTTGACGATAATGCTGCGTTTCCAATGCCTACTATTCCTGCTGTGATGCCAGCGGACGCACCTCCAACGAAGACACCTGCAGCTCCACCTATCAACGCTTTTTTGATCCATTTCTCAGAATCCATTCCATCAATAACAGATCGTTCTTTTAGGCATTCACCTGAAGATTGTAAGCCGGCGCCGAATAACGCTCCACCAGCTATTGATCCTAATGTTACAAAAACTGGTGCACCGAGACCAGCCGTTAAAACAGAACAGGTGATCCCGCCGACAGCTAATAAAGAAGAGAATACAAGAAAACCAAGTCGCTTCCAAAAAGCTTTAAGTTGCTTTACACTCCGCATTCAGATGAAAAATTGCTTTCCACCGTTTTAAAGAAAACCATCCTTGTTGATAGTCAAAGTGGTTGTGATATTGAGCTCGATATTCATCATTTAACAAAATTTCCTTTGCGTGAATTATCTTTTCTGCTATTTCCTTATTGCCATTAGGCTTGTCGGGATGCCATATAAGCATCATTTTAAGAAATCCTGTTTTGACCGCTTTTTAAGTCATTTACATTCATTTTACGAACTTCTTTCATGTTTAATCCTAGTTGTTCATACAAGTCTCCAGAGGGCAATTCGTTTTCTCGATTTATGTGGCGACCGATTGTTTGCCTGCCATTTTCGTTTACAGTATTTCGTTGACAAGTTAATGATTCATTTATAGTTATCACTTCAATATCGTTGCAATTCCTGGGTCCAAGAAGCTTCTTTTCATTTCTATTGTCTATATGCGCAAAAATTTCAAACTTGTATGATTCCTTATGATGATAGCGATGATTCTCTGTTGGTTGGAGGGTTTTTGAAGAAGTCGGAAACTTGCAAAAAGGAGACCAACCTTTGTAATAGTTTACAGTGATTTTAACATTGGAATGGTTTTCAACGACTAAGCATCTATATTGATCATCCGCCATTGAGTTTTGTTTTTTAAACTCTTGATTATCCAATTTTCTTTAGGAGACACTGTCGTCTTAATGTTCAAAGTTCTGCTTAATATGTCATCACATTAGTTCCTAAGAAAAAAAATCATTGTAAAACTGAAGTATTAACATTTTTCAATTGCAGACTTGGAGATTGCGGATGATTGCCTCTTCTGAACCTCCAGATGTGCTTTGGTATAAATGTTACTGAGGAGTAGTCTGCCGAAATGCATCGTGTCGTTTAATTTAGAACTATTGGGTTCGTGCTTTTTATTTAAAACAGTTCTTTTAAGAACTGTCAACTTGTTATATTACTTTTACCATTCACTAAGGTATTTGCTATCTTTAGAACTATTTTCAGTTTTGTCACCACGACAAAGTCCCTATGTTATTATTTAAGAAAGCGCTATAATGGTGGTCAGGTTCGTGACCTTAATAAATTGGTGAGACTTAGAGGAAAGGTTCGCTCGGTGGTAGCAGCAATCCGGAATTTTACGATAACTGACCGCGCGCTCCTCGCTCTTATGGCTAAACACGTAAGCAAAAGTGCTTTTTTATTTTATTTTGTTTTGTTTTTTTTTTGAAAAAGAAATCTTCAAATAACTTTTGGTTATTATACTTATCTGTAAATGTGCTGATTCGCAAGTGATCTCATTAATTTTTTCTGTATATACCTAAGTCAAAATAACTCATGGGAGAACTGCATTTGAACTATGTCTACAAATCATAAATGCATGAAGCAAGTTTAAAATTGAGTTGTAATTTCAACATAATTTTCATGTTTCATAGTCCCATATTCTCATCGTGTTGATTTTTTAGTAATATTTCAAAATATTGTCATATATCCTTCAAGATTATTTGGAATGTATAAAAACACAAGCTTTATAGTTACGTCATTCACCGTCAAGATTGTGAAACTCTGTGAAATATAAGTACTAACAGTCTCTTTGGAGGTTTCTAACAACAATGAAAAAACACTCCAATACTTGGATGAATACTTTTTTACGATCAAGACTATCATATTCAATTATCCTTATATGGCATTCCTACAGCTCAATGAAATTTGAACCAATCAAAAAATCCAGTTTATTAAAATTTCATTTTAAAATGAGTAATGTAATAGTCCGTGATCTGTGACCGATTTTCTTTCATTCCCGTTGGACACCTCAAGGAAGGTCGTGAAAAATTCAAGACAGAACGACTTTTACATGCTTAACGCAGTTTTACTTCTTGTCATCTCCAAAAAGCTGCAGTTTTATTGCTATATTGAGTGGCGTAGCTAGGAAAAATAGTCACTCCCGCCAATCCATCTCGCGCCTCCGGCGCGACCCCACTAGGGGGGTCCGGGGGCATGCTCCCCAGGAAAATTTTGAAATCCAGAGCCTTGGAAACAGCATTTCCTGCGATTTCGAGGGCGAATTATTTGTTGTATAATAATTTATAAAAACCCATTTTTGTTAGCTACATTCTTAATGTGGCAATCGTTGAAACTGCAACTAGTTAAAAAGGTACTAAAGGTGGCTCAGAGAAACGTTACGCAGGAGACAATTGTCCCCTAAAACATAATTTACTCATCACTGCCCCTGCATAAACAGAAGAAATTTGTATTAGCACAAAAAATAATATAGTATACGACACTTCTAAAGTGCATAGAGAGAGATTTTTCTTAGCATTCTACTTGTTAGTTTAAACTTGTTTAGATTGGGGCAAGTAGACAGGGATGGCTTTATTCTTTAAAGTTATGCTTAATTTTCTCAATGAAGTACCATGTATTATACGAACAAATATCAAAACACATACTATACTCATCATTTATAAAGAAAGGCCAGCCTCCTAGGTTTTTCTACAAATTTTTCAACCACCTCGTTATGCAACACCTCTGATTCCTCTTTCTTTTCAATGATATCTTTGTAAATAGATATTCTACAGAAAGAGCTAAGCCGACCTTGACCCATTCTATTTCTTAAATAGCTTTTTACCCTTTTTAAGCAAGAAAACGACCTCTCTACTGAAGCACTTGCCACTGCCAACACACCATTCAATTTTAACAAATTTACCACTTGACCTAAACTCGACTGGAGATTAAATTTGAAGATGTATTTAAGAACCTCATTACTGCACTCTTTGTCATACACAAATACAAAATAGCAATTTGAGAGTAAACACAATGGAAAATTAATACCGACAATGACACGTAATTTGATAATCACTAATCGCTGTACTCGTATTAAAAGGTCGAATAATTACAACCTCCGCCAATTTAAAATAGCGGGAGTTCGACTATAAAAACAGCAGATTTGAGCATGCGTCAAGTCCCTTAGCCAACCAGAATTCAAAACTTCTTATATAGAATTATATTGTATGTTCCGCCCTCTGAAGATGGGCGGAATACATGAAGAATCGCGCGAGTATGCAATGTGCGAGAAAAGGCGGTTGCTACGTTACATAACAAATCTTGAGATTTTGCTGTATTACGATTACCAACCACCTAATAAAAGCGTAAATATGAACGAATAAAACATAATATTACAAATTGTTCGTGAAATAATGTATATCTTATGTCCAAATAGAATATTTATTATTTTTTTGGGAAATTTCTACTCCCGCCGGGCGGGAGTAGCGGGACCGCTAGCTACGCCACTGGCTATATTACATTAAAATTTTAAAATTTGTAGCTCATTACAATTTCGGAATCCGCCATTTTCCCTGAGAAACTTCATGTTATTTATATTTTGTGTGCTAGTGCCAGACCTAATAGAGAGCTATTCCGCACGATAATACTGGCAACATAAATAAATTGTCTGAAAGAAATACATATTTCACTCGTGCATTAGGTTGGATTTTAGCAATTGTTTGCGAAGATAATATTTTGAAAGTTATAATCGTATTGTGCAAGACAAGGCGCGCTTTTTTTAAAGGTCTGTCTGATTCGTCGTCAATGTCATCATCTAAAAACTCCTCTTCCTCAACATCATTGTCGTCATCAATATCTACATTCGTGCATGCAGTACACGACCATACATCTGTGTACTTCACTCCGGCTTTGTTACATGAACAACGTTGGGAGTTACAGCCACGTTGCAGCCAGTCTTACAACCACAATGAACGTTATCAAGTAAGGAATTCGGCGCTAGGGGAATGGTCATCCATACGATTTCAGACTTGCAGTTTCCCGTCACTCGTTTGCCACCCATTTTCATCGGGAGGAGTAATATCCATTTGTGGTTGTAAACAGAAAGGCCAAAGCGCGGCTTGGTACAAAAATGTAAGTTCCATAAACTTCCATTGCTAATCAAGAGTTAGTGTAAATATTGCTAAAGTCATTCTTATTGCATTCTGTATACAACTGAGAGGTATTTTGCAAAAAGAAGTTAAAAATCTCAGTTAAGAAGCATAAAATCTCAAAACACCAAGCTAGAACTCAACATTATATGATTCTTAGAACAAACTTAGCTACTATTTGTTTACAATATGTCAGAAGTGGTAAACTTTTGTATTTTTCAACAATCTCTTTCATAGGTTGTGATGATTGTTAATCTTCAGTTAAGGCTTTATGCTCAAGATCATGTTTTACAGTTCAAGAAAGAATATTTTTCAGTGAGCCATTTCAGAAGCCAGAAAGCTGGGGTTTTTTGCTTGGGTTGAAACTTGTTTTATTGTAAATTTGATTAGCGAGGACTTTCATAGATAAAAGTTGTCTTTGTCATACCATGAAAAGGAGAGTGAAAGACTTCTGGCACATTGATTGAAAAAGTGATCCTGTATATATATATATTTCTCGACAAGAAATGTAGTTATGATTCTGATCTATACATACTAATTTACTAATTTACTGTGTCCTTTGATAAAAGTTTATAATGTTGATTTAAAATAAAGAATATCTGAATTATTTTTGAAGTCATTCTTTATATAATCAATGCATGGAAACAGCAACTAAAGATGGTTTTGGGACATTGGTATGTAATGGAGACAAGATCCTCTGTTAGAAGTCAGCAAGCACTTTAATGCTTAGTGTAGGTTCTACAAAACCAAAAAAATGTTGTCCTTCTATATTTAAAAAGAGAAATTTCAGAATTCTACTCTTCCAAAGTAAAGAATGGACTTCACTTATCCTATGTGGAGTGACCTTGTAGAAAGAGTGGTCAAAACATTGAATCAAAGTAATTCTTGTGTTTAGTGAGTCTAATAGCCTGATAGCAATACTTTTAAAACTTAATTTTCGCTCTTGCATCACTTAAAGCAGGTTAATCACAAAGGCATGTACTTTATGGAATCTGTAACATAGCTGTAAGCTGCTAAATGTTTGTTCTACAATTTTTACATTTATCTTAGGCCTATGCATAATGATGTGCCTCTTTAAAAGCTTATCAACAAAAAATTCTTTAGTGGTAATGATCAATTTCTTACCAAGCTTTAGTGATTAAGGAAAAATTTATGGAAAGATGCGTTGCTATCCTGCGAAAAGTGAAGTTGCGCACTATTTAACCATGAGTTCTTAAAACTGACAAGATTTAGGTATAAAACAGGCTTCTCCTATGTTGATACATAAGTGCAAAGGTGACAGTTTAGGTTTGCTTCCAAAATTTTCGACAGAATTCTTCATTTAAAACTTACATTTTACTTGGACTTTATTAAGAGTCTCGCCTTTTTGCCACCTTTCAAGATGGCACCCGTAAATAAATTTGCCTCACCATGACAACGGCAGTTAGATACAAAGAGTTCCGCACAAAAAAAATGGCGACATTCAAAACTGAACGAGCGAGGAATTTTGAAATTCAACCGCGAAATACTAAAAAACTGCAGCTTTTTAGAAGTGACAATAAAAAGAATATCAAACAGCAAGTGACTTTCTATCTATTTTGAAAATTTTGCGACCTTCCTTGAGGTGTCCAACGAAACTCATTTTTAAAGCATATTTTTGAGGCACAGATCACGGACTATTAGGTCAAATAGTTGGAGCGCTACTGAATAACACAAATATAGCATAATGCTATTTTCTGTGTTTCTTAATAACATTGCGACTATTTAACTTTATGTTTATCGTCATATTGGCAAGCGGAATGCTTATGAAAATCTACGTTAACATCAGTATAAGATTCATTTTTTTTCAGTATGAAGCGGGATTCTTTCACTGAAGGGCAATCATGTATTGCCTAACATTAACATCGGTATATGTTACTGTATATTTAATATTGAATTCGAAACAAAAATGAACAAGAATATTCAGTTGATTAATCTTTGATAAACCTTTCACCTTTACTTGTCACAAGCTCGGGACTTAAAGCGCAAAGCTCTCTACATTTTAGTTGACTCTTCTCGTTCACAAGGAAGAGGAGTAGAAGGTTAAAATACAAATGTTGTGAGATAAGGTAGTTATTGTAAAATGGATAATGTTGTTGATGGGAAAATGAAACTGTCGAGAGCTATAATAAAAATGAACGACAGTCTTCAAATACAAGGACAAACAAATATATTTTTGTCTTCGAAGTTTTCTTCTCAAGATGTGATTTCAAAATCCAAAAAACTATCTAATAAAACCGATGACAATTTAGCTAGTTTGGTCATAGACACGTTTTTATTCTCAAAAATGATTTCTTTTACTAGGAATCAATGTAATATGTCTACAATCAACGAACACGTCATCCAAACTCACCGTTTTTTATTGAAGACGATTGTCAACGATAAATATTGTTCGTGTTTTTATTCACGCTATGCTTCTTGTACAGGAAAGATGCTCGTTGTTGTTATTGACAGTTCTTAGACTTCAGACAAACATTCCACGAAGGTAAACTTCATAACCAACTATCAGGTCTGTATGGGATAATTTGAACTGCGCAATAGCTTTATAATTAGATTGTTATGTACAGTGCTGCCACTCTAATATTTCAAATTTCACTACGTGATTGAATTTAACTACTTGGGTGCTTTTCACTCAGTGATTTCACAAAACACGACAGGATTACATTACAGGATTACTATTTTGTTATAACTACACGCTAAGAATGTCTTTTAGGAAGTAATAAAATGCTAGTAATTTTCAACCGCAAAACAAAGTAATAATTCATTTACTTAGAGAGAATGACATAAATAGATTAAATATAGAACGACAATATCCAAAATATGGTAAAAAACAAATTCTGAAGAAAGTGACGGCTGGACATTATTGTCGGCTGGAATCGGTAAATTGTCGGCTGGACATGGTTTTTGATAGTATCCAAGACCTGGTTGTCTGCGGTATGTATTGGATTACCTTTCGCTCAGGCTGCACGGTTTATATAATCTACTTTTTTCCATACTTTAAAATGTGCAATCTACACTGAAATTTGTTACTTTTGAAGGTAGCACCAAATTTATATTATAATTTCCGATAACTTAACAATCTCAGTGAGCAACATACTGTTTCAGCCTTTATTTCAACATAAAACAAAGCTTTTCGTGTCGCAGGAAACTAGTTATTTTGCACGAGAATGGTTTTTAGAAACTATAGTCAAGCTGTCGTAGAAAACTATAGGACATAATAACACACACACTCTGGCTTAGCTATTTCGCGTCTTTTCAGTCTTAAATGTGAAAAGTAATTTTCCGCCATCCGTTTTCCGCTTTAATTCATCACTTTTACGGCAGCGTGCACGTGTATCTATGACGTCATTAAAAGTGTAAGCAAAGTCAAAGTTCGGAAATAGAAAGCTTCTTACATTATGATGCAATAGCAAAAAGATATTGTAGCTAAGGAAAGGATTAGGAAACATTAAAAAGGATTCTAAGCCATTATCCAAATATGCTTAGAAAAAATACGAAAAACAATCCCATAAAATTATCGTAATGCTGGAGACGTGCGTCGCGCTAAAAATGAGCTTAAGCGCTATAGAGATGTCCATTTACAGAGAATATACTTAGGTTTGATGCTTACCTTTTCTTGCAACGCATTGACTTACTAAAGATTATCGAGACATGATGTACACCATTTCCTGTCTAGAAAAGTCTATTTTCTCTCTACTTTTGCCAAGAACTATTTTAAACACGCTTATTTTATATCTTTGTACTTTGAAATAGCGTACCCATTGAAAGAAACAGTGAGAGGACTCGTGTAGAAATTATTGAAGGTTTCTTCAACAGTTGAATTTATGTAATTTCATACCAAATACGCTGCGTGTCATCTAAAACCTTTGTGCTTAGCCGTAATTTTTAATTACTTGAAGACAGCTATAGCAATCATTCATTTTTACCGTTTGTAATGTACATAGTTACAAACATAGAATAGGCATTAGACACATGTACTAAGCAAGACTATATTTATGATACTCCAATGAGGGATGATAATTGACAAGATATCTCACAATTCATCGTGAGGGAATTTTTTAAGTCGTTTTCGGTTATCATGTTGAAATTATCATTCAATGGCACATCGTTGATAATTACTTGCGTTTGGCAAATTTTTTTCCTTATCAAATTCTTCACAATTTTTTTTACGCACAGAGCCGAGAAAATACCTGTACTGGTGTCAAATAACCGGGAGAAAAAAAGCGAACCTATTAAGGTCGGTCATTAAACTGTTGTTTGACAGTTTATGAAAGATAAAATAAGATTATAGGAGAACTAAAGTCTGAAAACACAACAACGAAGGGCTTGATTATGTGGAGGTGAGCTGGACCGGATAGCGAATAGCCCCAGACAGTATATAAACTACATTATTACATGAACACATAATTACATGACAGCGCATTACAATATATATAATATATAATAACCGTAATACAATATAATATAACCGTACGTCCATAATAACCGTATATACAATATAACCGTACGTCCTGTGTCCCAAGTGCAGGAGTCACCATTTTACTATGGTGATAGCCGGGAGGGCACATTGTTATACACTTTGTATATATATGTATATATATATATATACAATATATATATTCATGTTTTCATTGATTTGTGTTGTTATTATAAACACGCGATTTTTTGCGCGTCGTAATTTCCCCAGCCGGTTAGCCATATATCATGTCGATAGAAGCTTTCTCGTCCAGCGGGCTAACTCGCCTTCTTATATAATCAGGCTCTAAGTGTTTTCACTTCGCCGCTATTTGCTTGCGTGCTGCTAATGCAAGACTGTGTACGACGAAGCTTAATATATTGTCCGAACTTTGACATTGTTAACATTTTCAATGACGTTATAGGCACTAAAAGTGGTGAATTAAAAAAAAACATCAAAGGCAAATCAAATCTAAAGTTCGTTTTTCGCGTGTCCATTTAATTTAGTTCAATGGCGCGGAGAGACATGCACAAGTGCACCTCTTTACGACTGTCCACGACGAGTATTTCTCAGAATGCTCACAAAATAGTATTCTGCAATAGACGTTTCATAATAGACATTCTAAAATCTATTACGTGCTGTTGACATAAGAGAGTAAGTTTGTTTATATTTCTTTAAGCACATTATGGCTAATGTTTCTTATAGTTTTTATCATACGAATTTTTGTAAAGCTATTTGTTCTGGAAACTATGGATATCATCACCGTTGTACTGTCTCAATTACCTCGATTATTACAAGTGATGGCATCATTAAGGGCTCTTTTCCTCTCATCGCAAAATGCTCTCGCTGCGAGCTTGCGAGTCTGTTAAATTAGTTGAACAAAAAAATTTGTTCAACTAATTTAACTATGCTGCAATTCATTGTCAGCTCGCTGCGAGTAACTCGCAGGCACTCGCAGTGAGCTTGCGAGTACGTTTTGCGATGAGTGGAAAAGAGCCTTAAGTCAGTTAAAAGTTGAAATATGTCACAGCTTCATAGTTGATGCAGGAGTGCTCAGAAGTGTGCTCTGAAGAGTGCATCCTTTATATGGTCAAATATTTTTCTAACTTGGACGAGTCATTGCAATGCGTCACTGCAATTTGCTTTCTTGGAAGAAGCCAATCACTAATCTTTTATAAGTTATAACATATTTGTGAAAGTGCAAAACTAGGGTATGTGACAACAGAAAATCTGTCTCATAGTAATACATTTAACAAGAATACATTGATTGCCTTGTGTTAAGGGATTTGAAAGAAAAATCGGCTTTGGCTCTTAAATTTTAACAAAATTAAATGTTGAATCTGGCCATTTCATTGCTTCATATGATTTTTACAGGATTGTGGGATTAACTAATATGGCCAAGGGCATTTTCAGTCATTGAATATTCAATAAAATGTTTTTTTTCTGCTTTACTTACAGGAACAAGTTTTATCAGCATTTTCCCTAATTTGTGGTAATTTGTCAGCTCAAAAAGGTAAGTGATGCAGTGCATCTTTTGTTTTTTCTATGTTTATCTTAATTCATCCATTTTATTAGTTCCATCCTTAGTGTATGTATTCCTAAACTTCTAAAACTCAATTTTTCCCCTACCCTGTTTTAAAACTCAATCTTTGCTTTCCTTGAACCCAACCCTAATCTTATAGCTACCCTGGGTGGATCCATTTCCTTATCTGACTTTGGCATTTTGAGTCATGAACTTGTGAGCCACTATAAAGGGTTGTTTAGGGACGTGCGTACTACCAAAGATAGTATTTGGTACTACCCCAGATAGTATTTGAAATTTTGACTCTTGGCAGAGATATTGTCTGCATTTTGAAGGTTTTATTTAGAAAAATCTTGGCCGTACCTCGGCTCAATAAATGAATTCATGAACTTTTCCCAGTTTTCATTTTTATTGTGAAAAATAATTCTCTTCTTTGGATAGCTCTGGACAGAGAACGCTTTATTTATGCTCTATCTTTGCATTGTTGCAACTCACAGAAAAAATCATGTTAAGTCTTCTGTTTTTTACTCAAGATGTTGTACACATTGTGACATTAAACAAGCTAGAAGGTGATGTTTATACACCTTTTCGATGAAAGCAATGAGTTCTGTGTTATACATGTAATTTATTAAAGTAAAAACTAGCATAACAACAAACCATATATTTAATTTTTGCTTCAGGACACAAACTTTATAGTACTTTCATAATTCTTATCATCAAAACACAGAAGTATTTGCATTACATGATAAAGATGCAATTTTTATAAGAAGTACTTATATTACCTTTGCAATGCCATGTTAATTTCATAAATTTTACTGAATTGTTGATTTAAAGCTCTTCATTACATACAACACAATTTGCAAGCAAAGCAATGCAATATATATCGAAAAATATTCAGTGTCTGTTTTGGCAAAAACAAACAATCAATTGGAAATGTATTCTTCCTCTGGGACTCGTTGAGCACATTTCTTCTTATGAAGTATTATATACAAAGACACAATAATTTGTCTCCAACGTCCAAAATTCTACATCTTTTTGTGTCATCTTTATGATTTTATCTCATCTTGTATAATACATTCATAATGATTCCACTGCTTTTTTTGACCTCTTTTGAAACTGCAATGCTATCAAAATGGTGAAATATATCTTTTATGTGAATAAGATAGCTTTTTTATGCATAAATGATTATATTAAGAAATGTTGTTTGTCATTAAATGATCATGGTTACGTAGTTTATTGAGGATTAAGTTTGCAAAAACAATTTAGAAACAAATAGGATTGTGAAAAACGGTTTTACTTTTTCAAATTATTGTATTTTAACAAAAGTAGATTTAATTTACATATTAACTTCATCTGTTCTCTCTCTTCTGCAGAGGTTTTTGAAGTAAACTGTCATTTCTGATCATTACAACGTTATCATCAACTAATCTGCTAACGTTGAAGTGCTTCATTTTTACTGGCAACTATGGGATGTTGCATTTGCTTTTGGGTTTGTTACTTAATTAAGCAGGGAAGGGGCTAATAATATTCATATATGCGCATACTTCTGTATTGTTTTGTATTGAAATCAATCATTATTACGAATTGTACAATATTAATATATAAATATAGCGCCCTTATTTATCAAGTTTTGGCTGCCCTTGTATTGAAGATACTTGTATCTTCTGAACCACAATTTCTGGTTTGTTCGTTGATGCTCTATTGCATTATGTCTCTATTGAATACAGTACCTGGTATGCTTCATTTAATGTTTGCTGTTTGTTTTATTCACATAATCAGTTGGACAAAGTTATATTCCTAGGCAATATTTTGTATTGGTCTCTGCCTAAAGATAAATCTATTTCCATTGGTGCACCCCAGTACAGATGATGTAATATGATGATCACAGTATTCGCAACTTTCATTTCTATTATGCTAATTGCCCATAACACAATATTTATAATAATTAGGCACTTTGAAATGCACAATGGTTGATATAATTTTCGAAGTCTACTATTCCTGCAGTAGGTAAAACAGGTTGGTGATGGTGAATGAAAATTTCGCAGCAGCTGCCTATCCACGTGGATTGGGCATGTCATGAAACTTCAAGCATGAGAGTAAAAAATTCTGAAGATTCCATTTCATAATATATTTCATAAAAGTATTGAAATGGCGTGTTTAACATGCAAGAAAACATTTTGTTTGAATATTATAGCTAAACTTTCAAAACATAGTAAATTTCAACCACCAATTTTCATTGTCTTGTTTATTAGCTGCAATAAAAAAGGGCACATTAATTCCGATATTTGTTTAAAATATTTGATATAAAGGGTGGAGGAAAAATCACGAACAATATGTGTAAATCTTAGTGGATTATGCGACTTATTGATCTGTTTACTATACACAGTTCATGGAAGACAGCGAATGTTCTCGAATGTTCTCTAGCTTATCTACACTGTAGAGATTAGAATGCAACCTCGCTGGTGCTCGTTTGATATGAATAATATCCATATTTCATGTGGATTGTTCCAAAAGCGAATGTTCGACGAAATTTGAGCACCATTGGTTGCACTTCGATTTGGGTGAAGAATAATTGTTGCCTGCTGCGATTTTTTATGAGTATTTTTCGGCAATATTTTTCATTCCGTAAACTCTAACTATATTTTCGATCTAAAATAAGTGTTGCCAAATGAAATTTAAAAATATAAAAGGAGGTACGTGTGTACATGTGGATAACGTGGTAAATGTGTTGTCACAAAATGAACATAATTCAAAAAATAATACATATTTAAGTAATTTACATCAAATTTTAAAAACTGCATAAGTTTTCAAAAATGTGCTTCATGCTCACTGTTTGCTGTAGCACGAATGATACACTTGCCGAATGTCAACACTTTGCTTGTCACGTTAAAGGTCGCGTGCTCAAATCATAGAAACTCAGGTCCTTTGTCACTCGACCGATAAATCTGAAAGCACATGACTTGTAATGATTTTACATGGAAGCGTCATTGGTATTTCTATTTTTGGAGAAACGGTTGTGTACTTTTGTTATTTTTTTAATAATATTTTGAAAATACTAAATTTCTGACGATTTTCGCACATTGCAAGGGAGTGTGAGTATATTATTGTGTACAATGTATTTTCTGCTCATTTCAGAAACGTATCATATAACATGTCTGATTTTTAATGTCATTCTAACATTATTTAAATCAGTTTGCGGATCTAGGGTATGTCAAATCAGCCTCGCGATGTTTATAGTTCAGAAATTACTTATCAAATTTAACGATTAAAATTTTTTGCGATCATTAAATTTCTGATGTATAATCGTTTGAATTTCATTGTCAAAATTCTGTTTTATATCTGAAATCTTACGTAAATATCACGTTAGCAAACAGATCACTAGATTTTAACATATCTGGAATTATATTAGCTGACCGATAAGCGTGGTGGCTCGACTGGTTCGACCGATAATGGAGTTCAAGAACGGCTAATTAAAACCATTCCATTGGTCAATAGCCAGATCAGTAGACGATCTGGAATAATATCGATCGATAAGAGGAGTGGCCGGACCGATTGTCTAATTGCTCTCGTGAAATTGGTTCGTTTAAGGTTTTATCTTACTGTGTAATTGGTTTGACCGATTTTGACTGATAGCCAACTGAGGTAACATTGTCATGCTTACTGTCTGAATTAGTGTTACCAAATCGTGAACACTGTTCACAGATTTGTGAACTTTTTGCTCTCTTCATGAACATTTCATGAATGTTAAAAGTTTGTAAACTTTTTGTGAACTTTTCTAAATATTACGTATTTTTGTATTTTCATCATTTTCATAAAGAATGTATAGATAAATTATAGTTCAATGAAAAAAAAATCTTCATAGCTCGACAGTTCTTTCAAAACAACGGCGATTTTAAGATAATCCGATGTTTTTCGAATATTTCCGAGGGTTTTCGAAAATGTCCGAGTTAATCCGTTAACTTCCGATTTTGCGATTTTTTTCAAGAGGGTGAAAAATTTATGAATGAATTGTAAATGTTCGGGCAGACGCGAGAGACATTTCAGTCATTGATGTTGAAAAGCAGGCCATCATTTTGTTAGAGATTTCTCAGCAGAAATTTACATCCAAAATCGTAAGTAAAGGACAACTGAAGTGTATGCATGAATGTAAAATATCAAAGTCAATTTATGCGAGTGTGTGATGCGACAACCCAGTCTCTTCCTTAAATTAACTCTATACGCTAATTGTGAAAATACCCTCAAATTGACTCTATAAGTCAATTTGAAACGTCCATTCAAACAACAGGCCTGGTGACTTGCCTGCCTGGTCGCAACCACGCAACCCATCATTTACCGCAATCTACTATCCCGCGAAGTTTTGGATATCCTCAATCGTTTATTGTAAAGTGTAAGCTCTTCTGATTGAATTTTTTTTTAAAATTCAATTTAAACTTTAATATTAAGTTGCGTGGCTCGCATTATTGCTGAAATGGAAGAAAACAATGGTAGTGGTAAGTAATTTTACACATTACACTTAAGTTATAAAATTACAAATACTGAAATACATAGGCCAATCCAGTGGCTAATTTATGTATTGAAGGCTATGTTAGCTTTTAGGAGACCTATACTTTGCTTGCTTTTTGAAAAGATAAACAAGAGTGCTTATCCATTCTCTTTTTGGTCATAAATGCATCTTAATTAGCAAACATCAACTCTAGTACACTATTTTACAGATAGAAATTACTATACAAAACTAACAATAGCATGCACATATGAGTGATATGATTTAGCTTAGTTAGCTACACCCGACTGACAGAAACAGTCCACAAGTTAAGGTAACCTTGAGCGAATATTGATTGTATAAAACAAATAAGCTTCAAGATTACAATGTTTTAAATACTAAGTAACTTAAGTTTGTCCAAAAGACTTCTATTTTGAAAAAGAAAGTTATTTCAAGTTAACTTGAATAGCTGCCAGTATCATATTGCTGTGATCACCTGCAAAATACATGTCAATCTGATGTTGTACATATTTTTTCTTTGACAAGTTAAATTATAACAATTTACATATGTAAGTGTGTACAATACTTTCCATCTGGCAAGTTAAACTGTAAACTGTTTACCATCAAAAACAAGGGTATTTTCATGTTCAATGTAAAAATTATATAGTTGGACTAAAACCTTTGGCATTGTTACCTTGCTGTTCCTCAGTATGTTTTTCTCGATATCACATGCTCATTTATTTGTGAAGTTTGTTAATTAGTAATTACAATATTTTAATTTTTAAACATTATTTTTTATAGGTTTTGATGTACTAGAATTAGATGATACAGAATATGTTGATGTATCTTCCAAAAAATTTGTAGGTTCATCAAATATTTATTGCAAATGAAATACGAGAAGTGTTATAGTATCTTAGAGTCATAATGATTGTGCCCAACAGTGATATAGCAATCTCAATAGTTTGGGGAGCTGGTATTCATTTGAGTGCTTGTTTTGCCATGCTAAGTTCTTAAAATAATTGTTTCTTCTGGATTAAAACATGCATTAATTTTTTACTTCATTGTTGGCCAAGGTTTCTTAGAGCTTACATATACAGAAACACAAAACAGCTCAGCAATATAAATAGCTTGTGCACCAACTTTCATTGATGCTTTCAACATGCCTAATTTTGCAGTGAGACTAAAAGTGGAATACCCAGCTTGTAAGTTGTGATCCTGCTCCATAAATTTTAGAGCATTATTATTTCATTTCTATTAAGATCTATTGTTTTAACTGTAAATGAGAACATAGGAGTTAACATAACTGGACTTAAGACGTGGGGTGAATACACCAGTGATTTTTATGTAAATTTGCTGTATGTATGCAGCATATCCACTGTGTAAAGAATAGATTTCAAAAGAAATGGATATTGATATGGTTTGGAAATTTACATTGCAAGAGTAAAACTTGCAAGCTTGTTATGCTATGCTACCTCTGCTAACATTTGATTTGATGGTGATCAGTGCCATCCTGGACATTAATGAGGGGGGGTGCTAATTTATTCATACATTCACTTGTGCCCACTTGGTTTCTTTGAAAGCAATTCATTTATAGAATTAAGCATTTTACTGTAAAAAAACACGTTCAGGCACAACTGAACTTATGAATAGTACACATTCCAACCAATTTGCATTGTCAAGACAACTCTGATGATTGCAATTTTGGAAAATATGCATCTGTGAGTCATTCTATTTGAAAATTAATCAGCATATTAATTTCACAAAAGAACAAAGTAAAACAGTATATAATAGTTTCCTTGATGTTTGAACAATTTCATGCACAATTGACTTTTTCATCTAAGGTGTGTATAAAAAAGGGGATTTGCAATTTTCAGTAGCATCAATATATATGTATGTATTATTGTATTGACTTTCAGGTTTTTGAGAATCAGCTACTGTTGAATCATACAAATTCTAAGTGTCAGCTGATTATAAATAAGCAGTTTTTTTATACACCCTATATATACCCGTTGCTTTCATTCAAATATGCATGAATCTAATTTTTTAAGTAAAGAACTGATATTTAAGAATTATGTTAAAACTAAAGGAAATTGAAATGATGACCTGTTGTTGTAGTTATGAAATTAAAAGCAATTACTTTGTTCAACAACTCAACAAGAAAACATATAAATTAGTTAGTACAATGCAGGGAATACTGTTTATTAGGTAAGGCTCAACGACACACATATAATTAATGTTCTTGTGCTATTCTACCCCCTCATCATTATCATGTAGCAAAGGTTTATCATATATCAAACGTCTATGAAGCGTACACTGTGTATTAAAACTGTGTTTTGAATTATTGCTTTTATTGTGTTTAAATTGTGTTTTCAATTGTATGCGTGTTGCTGAAACTGGGGATTAAAAATACACAGTTTTCTTGCACTTAATGGTTACGTAAATAATGTGATAGTTTCATGTTTGAAGATGTAGATCGTCCAGGTCAGTAGAGTTATGAGAAGGACTGTTTTGTTGTTGTTGACTGACGTTTCGACAACCTTAGAGGTAGTCATCTTCAGTCCTTCTAAGGTTGACTCTGAAGATGACGACTGCTAAGGTTGTCGAAACGTAAGTCAACAACAACAAAAACAGTCCTCAGGACTCTACTGACCTTGACGATCTACATCTGCAAACATGTAAAGATATTCCCGGGTTCAAACCATTTACTTTATTACGATGATTAGTTTCGGTAGTAAAGGAATCACACAACTTGTTACTGTTTGTCTTGTATCTTCACGTCTGTAGTATTACTTTTTGTATTATTCGTGTATAAATGCAATTATTGCTTCCTATAAAATACATCCAATTGCCTGAAAGGTTTGTACAGTAATTTTCTGGAAAAAATAATTTTTACCAAATTGGTGGTGCACTTCTATGTTATAGAGGACTAAAATTTTTTTAGACAACCTCTCGAAAGAAAATATGTAGTAATTGCTCTACTGCGGTGGGCAATGCATGTAAGCGATGCTCCAACTGTGGACAGCTCATTCCAAAGAGGCCTTCTTCCGTGTCAATACCACAATATTCGACCACGACAAGACAGAAAATGCTGCTGATGAAAAGGGTTAGATATGTGTTCTTTAATGTATCTTAGGGTATTGGAGCAGATGTTAAAATATCAATGTATAATTTGATTGGTTTCGGAATTGGACTTTTTTTGTAGGCTCAGACTCTTCATCAGAACCACGGTTATCATGTGGTGGTAATGTATTATCACCCATCAACCACTGGAGGTCCAACCGTCTGGGATTATGCTGCAACTCCTGGCTTGGCGACAGATTTTATTAGCAGCAGTGGTGTAATTGGAAAATCAGCCAGAAACTTGTTTCAAACCGGGATGAAGAAGTTATGGCAAGATAGAAATGAAGATAGTCAATCTACAGATCTTTCAACTACGAATACTATCCCTGCCTCTACTATCCCTGCCTCTACTTCCCCTCCCGTGTCGTTTTCTGTTTCTCCTTCTTTTTCAGCATCTTCATCTGTAACTCTTTGTAGCTCTGTTACAACCTCTCTTCCAGTTAGTAGCGCTGCTTCAACATTCAATCCTATACGCAAAGATCTTCATTTTAATACGATTTCCGCAACTTTCGAATCTTCCTTCCTCTCTGCTGCTACAAATACCAATACAAATGTCGTCACTGATTCTTTTAGCACTAATCCCACTCTGGCCTCTTCCAGTGGATGTACCTCGATCGGCAATTCTTCATCTGTTTCAACCTCTTCTTCCTCTTCTTCAAGCTCCTTCGTCGCTACAACATCTGTGTCTACCATATCTAAAACGACTGCCCCATCTGTATGAAAAATATCTGTAGTCGCAGCCTAATGAAAGAGCATGAGAAATACAACAATAGATTAAATACTAAATATATGTTCTACTTCATAGATCATACACTCATTCTTTCATAATTGCATTAAAAATATTCCAAAATAAATAGATTAGAAAATAAAATTTGCGATATGTCTTAGAACAATTAGAGCTCATTTATTATCTAAAATATTTATGTAACACACGTACACGATTTTATTCAAGTGTTGTTCACGTATTAATCCCAAAAATAAGATGATTTAAAAGTTTTTCTATGGAGATGAATAATAAATTCAGAAAAAAAGCGTCAACTGTTGCATCAAAAAAAAAACACTAAGACGCCAACAACCAACGAACTATATTCCAGGTGTATCAAAAAAGTAGACTCTTGGAAAAGTTTCTCTAAAATAAGACACGCATGTGTATTTTAACGTTCTCTGGTACAGCTGGTAATGATTTATTTGCAAATTGAATAAAGTACAATATGAGATTAAGAAGCCAATTCCTAAGGTAAGTGAAATGCGAAAAAGCAAAAAAAATTCAAGTGTTTTAAAGATCTTGCGTTGGCCAGCGCTTGCCCTCAAATTGCTTGCAATTAAGATAGCTTGCACAACCTCTTCCATATTTTGACTCAAGATAATTAAATTGTCTTTTCAATGAAAATTTTTCGTGAGCAAGGCCTGTTTTGAAGGACTTTTACCAGCAGATATTTCACTGCTATAACATTTTGCATTTTTTGAAACTTTCTTTTCCAGCTGTACCCCTGTACCGCGCGCCTCTTGTACGAAGAACTTTTTACCATAATATACTTTTTTGATACATTCTTACTATACACACGATATATAAGCAATACACGTTATATAGGCTATGCACACTATACACACTATATACACTATATAGGCTATGCACACTATACACACTATATACACTGTATAGGCTATACACACTATTTACGCTATATAGGCTATATACACTATATACACTATATAGGCTATATACACTATATACACTGTATAAGCTATGCACACTATTTACGGTATATAGGCTATATACGCTATATAGGCTATACACACTATTTACGGTATATAGGCTATATACGCTACATAGGCTATACACACTATATACACTATATAGGCTATACACACTATATACACTATATAGGCTATACACACTATATACGCTATATACACTATATAGGCTATATACACTATATAGGCTTTGCACACTATATACACTATATAGGCTGTATACACTATGTACACAATGCATAGGCTGTAAACAGTTTTTCGCCAACGTCACAACGACGTCACAAGTTTCTACTGTCCGCTATTATATAGACGGAGTGTAACACAAAAGAAGAAACAATGGAAACATAAAAGTTAGATTATAACGTATAGTAAGAATATTGTGTTTAATATACAGTTTATAACATACATCAAACGACTTTTTCTGCATACGGCATTCCCATATCATACCTTGACGTTCTATAAAGCAATTGGTGACGTATTACTTGTCATTCATCGTAGAAAAACCAGTTAAGGCTGCTTTCATGGAGTTAAGTACCAATTGCACAATTTATTAACCAAATTTAAAACAGAAATGTCTACAATCTTGATGAAACATGTTTTCAATCACTTTTGTTAACAAACAACTTATAACAGCTGCAAAAGGTGAATGGCTTCATTACATCCAGGGTGTCTGAGATATAGATATGTACGTAGTAACCATTTTCTTGAGAAGTATGTACTGGAATTGAACCAGTATACCAGCTAGTGGCTGGTAGCCATTCATAGCTTTTGTGGTTACGTGAGTGAGAATGAGCGACTGTTAAATCAATAAATCTATCACAGAGGAATCAGAAATCTAAATATCAAGGAAAAAGACAATTTGTGTTGCGAAAAAGGGCAATTTGTATATCATAGATTGTTGCAAAATAAGCCGTTTGCACTGAACAACTACAAATGCGTGTATCTTCTTAGATGTATATACTTGCAAGTGTATGTGCATACATTTTATTTACAAAAAGAGCAACATGCAAATAATTTTCTATTTATAAAAATTGCACACAAAAATATGATAGCACAGCTTTCAGCAACAAAATACTACGAATTATATGCATCTTCTTCTTCAACATCTTCATAAACGTCATCTTCACGAACGTCATCTTCATCGCTACAGTCTGATTCACTGTCACTACCGTATACGTTGACTATGGACTGTTCTAAGTCGTGAAAGTATTGAAAACCTTTTTTCAACTGCACTCTGGCAAATGCAATTCCGCAGTTTGTGATGGCGAGACGACCATGCAGAGTCTTCATTGTGTCTTTTCGCACACAATAGCGATGTTTATATTCATCTAGAAGAAAGCTCTATAAAACAAACATAATAATGTCAATAAGTATGTTCGTATTTTAAAAGATTGGTGTCATTTTCACTACTTATCTGACCTCTGTTTCAAGGAAAGAATAGTCATCAGATTCATCAACATTATTTGTAAATACTAAAAAAATAATTGCAAAATATGTTAAACGCATGTACATTACATTCCACAGTATATAAATACGCAACCTTTAAGCTTGTTTTAACATAATACGAACATTTATCTGTATACCTATCCTATCTTTAATCTTCTCTTTTCTTTCACAAAGGAGAGGCAAAACGTTTTCCAAATAATAAATCATATAATTTTTCATCTCCATGTTCAGAAGTGCTTTTTCCTCTTCCAATCTTTTAACTAACATGTACTTATCGACAATTTGTGCCTTGAAACGCACAGGTATATCTAAATATTGTTAAGTAAAATAGTTGAAACTAAAAGCGAGCATGGACATCACAATATACATAGAACTATATTTGCAATTCTTTTACACACCAGGTGAAGTCGTACTATCTATGTCACACTGGTTAAACGACCAAACAAAATATCCAGACATGACTTCTTCCGCACTTGTCGTAGGAAGACCACACAGACTTGAGAGGCAATTTAACTCTTCTACGGTGGATGTTATTTCGGACTTCTCTTTAGCGCATTTCTTTCTCATGGAAGATCTTCGTTTGCTAGAATCTACAATACGTACATGTATAATATACGTAACAACGACAAATCGCAATTTTACAGCAATTTGGCAAAATGCTTTGAAATAATTCGGCACAAAATAAGTGTAGGGTGGCCCATAAATATAAGTCTACATATTTCTACGAGGATGGTGTAGATGGCATTTACCCGTTTACTTTTAGATAAAGTACAATTTATCTTGAATAAAACTGTTCCATATTTTGCATTTTGTGTCGCCTACATCTAAAATCTAACTCACTTAGATTTTGCAACAAACTTTAAAATAATGCTTACAGTTACTGATAAAAAACCCCAACAAAACTTACCAGCAAGAGAAGTTATTTCTTTTGTGCGTCTAGTGACTGAAAAATACAACATTTCTAATCTCTTCTGCAGCTTTGCTACTGTCGATTTTGCCAGCTGCGACTTTCCTTGCTCAAGAAGCTGCTCCTCTGTCACATGTCCATCTAAAAGCTGTCTTTTCAATTCCAGCAATCTTGTTGCATTTCGTTCAAGTTGTTTCACTTTGTTTTGAGCGTCATGAACGAAACGCCTATCACCCAATAATGTCTGCGTTTGATCATCGTTGGCTCTTACAAAATTCTCCAAATGTTGAGCATTTTCAACAGTTTGATGCAAAAGGAAGAACTCTTCGGCGGCACCTTTCAACGAAGAAACTCCAATTTGTTGTTCTAGAGAAACAACAAAAGATATTAATTTATCTACGTAATTACTAAGCACTCCATACAATACTGTATAGCTATATATTTTCCGGGGGTAAAATGAATTGTTAAAAATAACAATTGCCAAACATAAAAATTTGAGCCAGGCCAAGAATTATTTCATATAGTTTCGTTTTAAATGATGTTTGAACAAAAATCAACCATAAGTACAGAACTGTTCAATACTAAACCATGTTTCCAAAAATATTTGAAAGTAAACAATGTTATAACAGAGGTATACCTCTCGCAAATTGTTGAACTTCTTCTTTCCACTGCATTATCGAGTCGTCCAAGTCAGAATCCTGGACATTAAGTTCGCTTCTTAACTTTACAAAATCGTCCCTGGCAGATGAAAGTTTCCTTTCGGTCTTCGAAATACAAGTACACATAATGAAAAACAGTGAAAAATAATCATATTAGCGCAGTAAACGTATTGGGTTCAAACAAGACCTATACACAACTATGAACTGTAAATTCATTTCATATTATACACGTACGTAGCTATACTTTTGACAATTAACTGAAGATATATACAACGTGTAACCTTTTTCATTCGAATAACAAGTGATTTTGCCAAGTTTAAAATTTTTCGCTTGTTCCAACTCAGAAGGTGTTCAGTAATGCATTCTTCTCGTCCTTAATACGTACAACCATTAATGTGCACATTAGTTCGTGGACTTAATCGACCAAAATACCTGAGTGGATATACAGATAAGAAAATAATACTCACCGGAGGCCGTCATATTTTTAGTAGTCGAGCCAAGTCTTGACAAATACGAATTTATTTGCTCAACTTCTTCGCCAGTAGTTGCTGCCGCACCACTTTGCCATCTTCCGCTCCAAATAACCTAAAAAGTGTGAAAAGAATCATCTATTCAAGACAACCCATTTCAGATTTATGTAACCACGGTTTAGTTATGTGAAATACAGTATTATTACAGTTTGAAAAAGCACGCTTTGTCTCATAAAATCTTTAATAGAGCATTATCGTCGGCGTATGTGGTATTTAGCTTACGAGTTATTGGGTAAACAATCATAACTTACGTATGTAACGTACCTGACATGACCAACTGTGTGATTTCCCATGCATTATAGACAGTGCTGGTGCAATATTTTTTAGCGCATTTTGATTTTCTTCCGATGTAACACGTAGAGCCCAAGGCCAATATTTGCATATAATATCTTCCCATATATATTTAACTTTATGTGGTTGTAAAAAATTCATATGCAAGTAGTGAGCATAGCCATAAATTTCTCCTCTGAACATGTTCAAAGTAGCTTGAGCAATCGAGTGCCTGCATCCAGCAACTTCAAGTCCAGTCTCGTCTTGGTTTTTCTTTGATTTGGAGACCATTTTTGCAGCTTTCCAATGGGTGTCGCCACAAGAATTATCTTCATTCTATAAAAAATGCTTTAACCTAATAATACAGTACCGACCTCGAGTAACATGACATGACTCGCGAGTATCGAGTGGCGAGTGGGCGAGTGACTCGCGAGTCAATTGCGAGTGACTCGCGAGTGACGAGTGGCGAGTGGGCGAGTGACTCGCGAGTCAATTGCGAGTGACTCGCGAGTGACACGTGGCGAGTGGGCGAGTGACTCGCGAGTCAATTGCGAGTCACTCTCGAGTGTGAGAAGTTTGCGAGTGAATAAGTGACTCGCTGTTTGCGAGTGAATAAAATAACTCGCAAAAATTTCGGACAACGACTATTCATTTGAAGCAATATCTCGGTACCTAATGACGTTAAAATCTTTTGAATTTTTTTACAAAAGCATTTTAATAACTTTACATTTCTCATGGCACCAACGTTATACGTAAAGCGGTAGAGACCATAGAGAAATTAGTGAGAAAATTAAAGTAACTCTCAAAGATTTTCTTCTAATAGTCTTAGATTGTTGACATATATTATTATATATATTATCTTAAGATAGAACACATTCAAAAACGAATATTGTTTGAGGTCAAATATTTAAGGAATGTAGCTATGAGATGAGTGTGCGTATAATCTTTTAAATTTGGTTCTGAAATTTGGTACTGTCATAAATTAGCCATATTTATTAAATTTTGAAGCTTATCGTTGCGTGCTATTAATTAAATGTGTATAGTGCTGTGAAGTCAATGAAATTATTTCAGAAACAAATCTCATTTTTAAACATTTCTACTGGTAAGTGAATCGCAAAAGCTATCATCTAGCCATTAACTATACACGTGGTTTTATTTCATTGATTGCTATTAAAAGTCTATGGCCTTTATCAATATCGTCTGTGTAACCCATCGAAAACGTGAAGTCAATGAAGTTCTTTTAGAACCAAATTTAAAAGACTATACGCACACTCATCTCATATATGTCAGCAATCTAAGACTATTAGAAGAAAATCTTTGAGAGTTACTTTGATTTTCTCACTAATTTCTCTATGGTCTCTACCGCTTTACGTATAACGTTGGTGCCATGAGAAATGTGAAGTTATTAAAATGCTTTTGTTAAAAAATTCAAAAGATTTTAACGTCATTAGGTACCGAGATATTGCTTCAAATGAATAGTCGTTGTCCGAAATTTTTGCGAGTTATTTTATTCACTCGCAAACAGCGAGTCACTTATTCACTCGCAAACTTCTCACACTCGAGAGTGACTCGCAATTGACTCGCGAGTCACTCGCCCACTCGCCACGTGTCACTCGCGAGTCACTCGCAATTGACTCGCGAGTCACTCGCCCACTCGCCACTCGTCACTCGCGAGTCACTCGCAATTGACTCGCGAGTCACTCGCCCACTCGCCACTCGATACTCGCGAGTCATGTCATGTTACTCGAGGTCGGTACTGTAGATTACTACCTTTCAATCCTACTTCATAACACATTACCTGAATTGACTTTGAACAAAGACTTTTTAAATGAGAGTCCACAAAACTATTGTTTGCAATCAATACATCACGATAATAACACTGGACTGGACCCCTGTGGTAAAAGTAAGTTATCAATTTAGAACACAAGCACTCATAAACTCAACAATGCAGGTAAAGAATCAAACATGAGCAGTAGGTCTTTTTCTTGGATTTGTTAAATTGGTTCAATTTATTAAAACATAAAAGTATCTGAATCGTTTACAAAGGGTAATTCCATTTTTACAAGTTTGAGAATTCGCCCTCCAATATCACAAACCTTGGTACTTTGCTGAATCTGTACACTTTTTGATTTCCATCAATATGACATGAATGTTGATCAATACTACAAGGAGGGCAATTTTTCCATGTCTGCTCATGAAGAAGGTCAATTTCATGTTGGCAATAGCTCCATTCAGCAAATGATTTTCTGAATGTGACTGAATTGATAATATTTTCCTAGTGAAACCAGTTCCAAATCAAAACATAGCACAATTATATACTATTTGTTGATTATGCAAAACCCCACTGTACTATAATATAGTTCTCATACTTCAAACATACACATTATATGAAGCCTACAAAAATTGACATGTGCTTGTTACAAATTTTAAACAAATTTTCCTTGACTTCCCAGAATTTACCAAAATTCACAGAAAGAAATGATCATAAAGGATTATTTTGAAATCAAGATTTACGTCTTGTAGCTTTTGGTTTGCAAGACAAAAATATACACAAAGTAAAAGCACACTAACAAAGATATGTAGATAGCATAAAAATAATCACCCTTCCTCTAGAGCTGGAAATATCTTCCAAACTTCTTACAAAAGCAGATTGTGATGACCCAGGCATCCTCTTTCTAAATGCATCCCACAAATTAAAGACATCTTGACTAAATATGTAATGAAAATTTTCAGGGCTACCAGGCCACCAGCCACTCTCAATTATACTGTCAACAGAAATTGGTGACCACTTCCATTGACAAGATGAGCAATGTACAGTGAACCAATTAAGATCAAATCGTCCTGTTGAAGACAAAATATAATCAAGAATAACCAGTACAGTGCTAAAAATATGTGCTTCAAAGAAATCAAATCCTGGGGTTTCATAAGAAGCCAGCAACTTCATCAATGATTTGAAGTTTTTAGTTTCAATCTAAAGTCTATGAATTAGTGTATAATCCAACCTGCTGCCTATGTACTTTTCTAAAGGTGACTAAGATAATGAGCCCCTAACAAATCTGATTTTAATAAGATGCATCATATGTACATCCATATATCAAAAATTGTTATTTGGACTCTGTAAAAAAATTGCATAAGGACATTTTCACCTTCACAAGTGATCATAATCACAAGAGAGCTGTTGGTAGTTTTGATGATAGGTTCATTACACAACTGACATGATGATGGGTAAAGGATGGGACATGATCGATCTACAAAGATAACAGCATCATCACAGAAAAACATTTCTCTCATATCGGGCACAACAAAAACAAATATTTATATAAAATTCAATAGTATGTACATTATACTTACCAATGCTGCAAATCTTTCCATCAGATGAAATGGATTGTGTTGGCTTGATATATTGAAAATAACCATCCAACCACACTTCTCGATCATGGAGAGGATTATTCTCATGGACATCATCATCGCATTCTCGACAAATATATCTCAACACACCACATTGTCTGCATCTCAGTACAGCTTCATTTTCATTGCATCTACAACACTTCATAGCAGATAAAGGAGGAGCAAATGATGACACAGTGACATTGAATATTTTTCCCTCATACTTTCCCAATTTTCTTCTCGATTTTCCATTCTTTTTTGCCAAGCAGATGGCCCAGTATCCACTTCTCCAATAACCAACTGACAGCTTTCAAGAATGGCTTCAAGATCTAAAATGAAAATGAAATGATTTTATGACGTAAAGCTGTTTCCTTTTTTTTTTCTAAAATATGACACAATTATAAAAAGAGTACATTGAAGTGTTAAAAGCACAGTCACATGTGTATAAAAATATAAAAAACTATGTATAGATGCAGTGGCCTGGACAGCACAAAAGTTTTGCTTCTGTTATGTAAAGTTGAGATGTAAGAAGTATTATCAATAACCTCTTTCAGTAACACTGTCCTCACATAACATTTCCTGTGGAACATCATGTAAATCTGACGATGTTGTAGGCATTTCCTCATCTATGATAGTAATAACAACAAGTAACATAAAAATGTAACATACAAGTTACACAAAAATCTAAAATGCTTCTATTTCTTTGATAAAAGTATTATTTCTCCAGCACACACCTCTTTGTGTATTTCTATTGCTCGGAGTGCTTTGCCTCGGCTTATGAATAATCCGTTCGCCATCTTCGTTTCTTTGAAGAACTATATCTCTACTGGCATTTTTCTTCTTAATAGTTTTACTTCTACTTCGAACACCTTGATTTGTAATAGCATTGACATTGCTTATTGCAGGCAGCAGCTGCTCATCAATCGTTGGTTTACTCAGCTTACTGCGTTTATGAGACATGTGTGATAGCATAAATAAGAGGTGAAACCCCGATGTGTTTAATATTTCATAAAAATACTGATACAGGGTACTGTAAAATATCTTCGCTCCAATAACAAAACAAAATGGCGCGCGCTAAGTTTTTTGGTTTTTTCATTTCGTCAACTGGCAAAGGAGCCACTCATGTCACCAGGCCTGTTTTTTGAATGGACATTTCAAATTGACTTATAGAGTCAATTTGAGGGTATTTTCACAATTAGCGTATAGAGTTAATTTAAGGAAGAGACTGGGTTGGATGCGATTTATGTCAATATGGCGTATGGTAAGCAGAGATTGATGCTTCTAAAATTGTTGTTGCCGAAGGACTTTTAGCTATGATTTCTTTAGTGCTTGGGGAATCTTGGCCGTTATATGGCCAAGTATTTCAATGGAAAAAATCTGTAGCCATAAGGCGCCATGTTATTATATACCTTATTATAAACAAATGTTTTGGGCTTTTCAGTTTATGATCATTGATCATTCAATCATTGGACAATTATACTACACATTGTTTAAGATTTGAGAAAACTAATATTGATTACATGATAGACTGTTTACTATAAACAGTGATTATGACTCTTTCTGATCCATGAAGCTTTTTATTTTGACAATTTGACTGGGATAGTATTAAACCTGAGCTATTTCACATACATGAAATGTTGTCCCATGTCACATATTGTCCCCTTTTCTAACTGAACACTTCATGTAGAGATGTCAAGGTGTGTTGATCTACGGCTCATACCCGATTGTTTGCCATATATTCCAAAGGGCTATTGATGTATGAAAAACATTTTCTATAAAGTAAAGATGTGTTCCTAGGTATGCAGATAAGCCTTGAAATTTGGCAAAACAGCCAAGTATTTTTCATGATCACTAGGTAATTTTTCTGGTGATCATTATAATTTTTAAACTAAATTATTTTAGATTTACATTTAACTAGTTTTGATTCTATGAAAAGTTACTTATCATAGCCAGTAAGCTTGACACATGAACCAATTTTAACATTCATATAATTACATGATTAAAGACATGCTGGTTACATTTTGTTTTTATTAGCAAGTACAATGCTTCTGGTAATTGCTATATAGCACAACTTGCATGGACTTACAGAAGATAATAGTCTACTGAAAGGCTTCATAAACTTTAATGGCATTAAGCTGTCCTTAATTGCAAAATTTCCTCTCTGATACTTATTGTTTAATCTTTGGCAGAAAAAAATTTTGAATTTTTTCCCAAAAGGTGAATTTTCTGCCACTGTAAGTGGAAATGGGTTAAGGGTTCTATAAACTTGCATGGTTTGAAGTCTGAGCTTTTTTACATTCATGGACTGACCCTTGTAGTACCTCATTTCTAACTTAAATCATTACGTAGAGGTGTGAATGGGGGTTACTAGGGGGGTCTATGCCTGTCAATTTGGTAGGAATTTTGAAAGACTATCTCTGTTTTGAATTAGCATTATTGTAAAGTAAATTTTATGCTCCTAAGCATGCTAATGAGCCTTAACATTTGGCAAAACATTCAAATATTGTTCACTTTACAGTTATTTTTTTGAAAAAAACAATGTCCACAAAAAGCATTTTGTATTGCTCTCAAATGCTGAAAATGGCATTCCCAAGGCTTTGAAATTCAAAATTTCTCACTCTTCCTAGCGTTGGCTACTCGTTGTACGAATTTTCCTGTAAAGTATTAATACACAAAGGAATTGAGAAAAAGCAATTATGATTTGTGTTCTGTGGAGCACACTTCAAAAATATTTCCCACTAGGCTACCTATGCTATAAGTAACAGAATTTAACATAAAAGCCCATCATGACACAATGACATCCAAAAACGTCTTATCGAAATCAAAGCACCCCATGTCCCCCCATAAAATCATTCTTGATCCATCCCTGTCTTGAAGTGAATGCACTAAATTTATCCCCAGTTTCACATTTCACATTTTGTGTATTTTTTAAGGTGCAGAAGAAAGATTGATTCCTTCTGTGTTCTAACTCAATCACTAAGCTTGTAAGAAACAGGGCCAGGACTCAAGTGGTAAGTTACCTTTTCTATTCTATGCATACTATTAAGTCAAGTTAATCTTCCAATAGAATGGATAAAACATCACCCAGATTGTAAAAAATTAAAAGCATGATTAGCCACCATACCACTATCATGCATAAGTCTACATGCCTAAAATATTCTGGCATTGGCTAGATTTGTGAGCAACAAAATTTTATTCATGATGGTATCAGGGTGTCTGTACAGAGAGCATGTTCATTTGAAATGTGGGTGTCCATCCATTATAGGAAAAACACCTACACTTTTAGATTCTTGCTTTAAAGTTAATGATGTTTGAGTGCCATGTATTTACGGGCATCATGGTGAAAACCATTACATAATTTATTTGTTTCGTGTGTTCATCCTTAAAATGGACATTAATGGCACAGAATATTTACATACAGGTCATTTCTAGTGATTTTTGTGATTTGCATTTGTCAAGGGCAATTTTCTTTGCTGAGTGTCAATGAATCATGTATGGTGTTAACATAAAAGTCACTCAAAGTTAAATTGAGATAATTGAATGTAACTATAGCAGAAGATAGTCAGTATTAACCAGTCAACCAACAATCAAACAAACCATGACTTTCCATTTAAACTGTGACCAAAGGTAGGGGGGTGGGTGGCTATGGAGGTTGCAGCCTCCAAAATGATTAAGATGGAGGTGCCAAGACCCCCCTCCCATTATTCAATTATTCATTGTTACAAAGAGCTTTTCAATGTTTTTTTTTCTGAAATAAGTTCCTGTTCGATAATGGAAAACAATTGAAATATAAATGGCCTCTCATACTGTCTCTCTCTCTCATACAGACTGACCTAATGAAGCTGAAACTTTGCTTAATAGTCTGAATGCCAAGCGCCTGCTACGACGTTTCTTGTTATTTGCTACACCGCTCTATACAAAACGTCTTCCGCTGTCATTGACTGTGACAGTAAAAGCTCTTATTGTTGGTACAACAGCTTTAAGAAAGTAGAAAATAAAGGAAAAAGCAAAAAAAATCAAGACATCTAAACATATTTCAAAATCCTGATCACGTAAGGTGCATTTGCCCAAACGTCTTTCTTATTTTTCAATAAACTGCAGGTGGTTTTCTCTTTTCTTAGGTATTTAAAGAAAAGTGGTGTTTGCGTTTATTTTTCGGTATGCTAGTTACGTGTTTTAAACTTTTTTTTTCTTTGAAAACAGATTTTGACTTTGTTAACGATGCCTGGAGTCAAGATCCGTGATGAAGATCGAGAAAAAATCCCAGCGAAGTATATATGTACTTACTGTCATCACCATCTCATCAATCCAATGCAGACCATGTGTGGACATTTGTTTTGTAAATCTTGTATGGACATTATTCTTGGGTAACGTCATTTTTTATGTAACAAATCATCTATAAAAAGTTATAGTAGTTGTCATACATGCTCTTTCAATAGACGCCCTGATTATACATCCCAATATCGTATCACATATCCCAAAGTATTCCTGCGTATCATCTTGTTCAATCAAGTCGGTGCCTAGCTGGTAGGGCGTCAAAATTCTTTATTAGATCTCTTGATACGACTTCGGTTAAAAACTGTTGCGTAGGAGACTAGGGAGACTAACTGCTTTCCTAGGAACGTAATTTATCAGAACATGCATGTAGAAATATTGACCCCCCCCCCTATTTAACTGTCTAACTGGCTACGCCTCCACTCTTCGAAATTTGTCATTCTTGTTAGTAGTTTTTGTCTTTTTTCAATCTGTAGGAATCCTGATCCAAAATGTCCTGAAGATAAAGAAAATTTGACCAAGGAAAACGTAGGTGGAAATATTGCAAAGATTTGACAGAAAATTCAATTACAGTTTTGTTGCTATCGATCATTAGTGTAGCCATCCCGCAAGTTTAGTCCTGCTTTGTAAATGTTAGTACATAATATTTTCCATATTACAGGGCATGTCAGTTAATGAGCAAAGAAAAATTAGCATAGCACGACTAAATAAGCATGTTGGCTTAACAACTATAATTATAATTACTCTTTGAGTTCTAAAAAATAATACATCGATTTACGTATATTGTCGTGTCTTGTGACATAGAAAATCCTTTTGCAACTTGGGTTATCAAAGCTACGTGCAAACGTTCTCAATACGTTGACTCAACATGCGCTAAACATTGTTTTTTGTTTGATGAGTGATGCTAAACGATGTGTGCAAACGCTCTCAACATGTTGAGTCTTCAAATGATATCGCGTAGGATCATGAGATAAAATACTCCACCATGCCTAGCAACAGCGTATATACAGGTACATAAACGGTTCAGTGACCAGGTAAATAACAACAATATAAGCTGCACAGGTAGTGTTCATGCTTTCGCTCAACATGTTGAGTGTGCTGTTTTAAAAACCAGAAGCTTCATTGCACTATAAACAAAGTTGAGGTGCGGTTTGGTGCCCATGGAACAAAGCAAATGTTGAGTGCTGTTGAGTGGAAGTTTTGAGCAAGTTCAAACTTCACTCAACAACGCTTAACACCGCTTAATAGCTACTACTCAACTCTCCTAAACACGGTGTTGAATATGTTGAGTTCGTTGTTGAGTCTACATGTTAGAGCCTTTGCACTTAGCGTTAGTGCTTCGGTGAATTTTACTTCAAAAAAGTTTGCCAACAGTTCTTGTAAGAAATTTACGTTACTGTTTCATTTAACGTCTAGTGCAAACTTGCATTTGAGTAAAGTGAAGTGACTCTGTCTTTTGCTACATTTAATCTTGTTTCATAAAAGATCAATTTCCATGGATCCATCTAGGTTTTCCCGGATGCTTTTACGAAGCGTGAGTTAAAAAGGATTCATTTACACTGTCCGTCTGAAGAATGTAAATGGTTTGGTACATACGAAGAATTGGAGGTGAGTTGGGCAAAGAAATTTATCAAAAAAGTGTGGCATTTTCACTTATAAAGTTTTTTTTTCTCAGGGTCATTCTCGTGTTTGTGAGCATGCGCTCATCAGCTGTATTCATAAACAGTGTAACATTCAGCTACCTCGCTCTCTTTTTGGTGAACATTTGAAGAATGAATGTGAATATCGAAATGTAAAATGTGAATATTGTGGTAAAGATGTCCCGTATTCTGCACTTAAGGTGCGTGCATGAATCACAGGAACACAGCAAGTTGAGATAAATATTTTGTGTCGTTATATATATCTCTTTATTGTCTTTGTTATTGCTTAGCAATTACTATCAACTTCGACCGCCTTTTTTGAAACGAGACCAAACTTCATCCATTAAATTGTCGTTGCTTTGTATTTCTTTTTAACATGTAGGATCACAAAGAAAATGTATGTGGAAATTATCCCGTGATTTGTAAATATTGCAATCAAATAATACCGAAGAAAGATACTGAACACCATGAAAAGACGACTTGTAATGAAGTGCTGACAAAATGTGAATTTCAAACCATTGGATGCAGTTATGACAAAGTAAGAATGTTTGGACTACTTTATAATTTCATGTTAGCAACGAGATAACGTTTATTCAATGCAAGTTCAAAAAGAGGAATCAGAGGTGTTGCATAATGAGGTGGTTGAAAAATTTGTACAAAAACCCAGGAGGCTGGCTTTTCTTTATAAATGATGTTCTTATAATGCACGGTACTTCATTGAGAACATTAAGCATTACTTTAAAGAATAAAGCCGTCGCTGTCTACCTGCCCCAGTTTAAACAAGTGTAAACTAAGAAGTGGAATGCTAAGAACAATCTCTCCCTAAGCATTTTAGGAAGTGTCGTATACTATGTTATTTTTTGTACTAATCCAAATTTCTTCTGTTTATTCAGGGGCAGTGATGAGTTTGATTCATTATGCTTTAGGGGACAATTGTCTCCTGCGTAACTTTTCACTGAGCCACCTTTAGTACCTCTTTAGCGAAATGCAGTTTTGACAATTGCCACATTAAGAATGCAGCTAATAAAAACGGGTTTTTATAACGTATTGTACAACAAATATTTCGCACTGCAAATCGCAGGAAATGTTGTTTCCAAGGCTATGGATTTCAAAATTTTCAAATTCGGCGCGACACGGGTAGGCGGGAGTTAATATTTTTCATGGCTACGTCACTGTTCACCAGGCCATTCAAACACTTGACAAATTTCCATAAAGGCATCGACCAATCAGAGCACGCCTTTGAAATTTGTTATTTTGTTATGACTATTGCCAAAATTTAGAACTTCAAAACAAAGATAAGCACCACCGATACCAATATTTTGAGTATAGAAATGAAATTATGGTAACGTCCAGTTATAAGCAGCTGCACAACTTATTTATTTGTTATCAAAATTATGCAATATGTAAAATAATTAGTTTGTAATGTTGTCAAACAGCTTTGACCTGTCAGAAAGTTGATTCGTATAGGTTCTCTGTTTAAAAACGGGGCATGTTTGTTCATTCTTATTAATTTAATGATTTCAGTGCTTAGAGGGAACAAAATTTGTTCTTCATCATATTCAGATTAAAATAACCGAAAATAGTTGCAAATAACGCTATTTTGTGGAAAATAATGCTTTGCCATTATCTTTTTCTTTTTTTCACAGACTTTAAAACGAAAGGAGATCCGTCAACATATGAATGACAATCTAATTGATCACGTGAGCGCCTTGTTACGATGTGTTATGGCATTTGTTAAACAGTTAAGTAACTATATACCGCGTCCAGAGTTTACTACTGTTGTTCAAAACTTGGGTGACCGAATCACTGCTGTTCGTGCCAATCTTTCAGACAAATTTTTGATGTTAGTTGGAAAACTTACAGGCTTAGAAAGGAGAATTGAGAGACTAGAAAGTCGTTATGGGAGCAATAATAATAACACTCAATTGTCTGTAGATGTTTCCTCGATGTGTGAAAGGATTGCCACCCTCGAGCGGCAAGCAAGAGATAATTCATTCATTATAGTACAGTTTTACGAGCGTTTCGACCATATTGACGAATCATTTGCGCGAGTTGAAGACATGGCTGACCAAGTCCGTGCTTTTTGTGTCAATCTCTTTGAAAAAGTGGAAATTTTAGAGCGCGAAGTGAGAGCTAATACATCTACTATACAATGGACTAGCGAGCGTTTGGACGAGGTAGACGAATTACGTGTGCAAAACCCGGTTATGGGAGCACAAAACCCGGCTATGGGAGCACAAAATGAGGCGCGCGAACTTTGATGAAATCATACAAAGCAATTATTGCTATTTTTCGTGATTACTTGCCAATTTATTATTATTTTTCACTCCAGTAAATGATTTTTATTCTATTCAGTTTTACATTTTAGTAATTTTGAAGAATTTTCATTGTATTTTTTTATTTTATCATCCATCCACGATGATAGAATATCCTTGTAAATTAATAATACAATTGTGTTGATATTATGCTATATTGTATTGTAAATGTAATTTAACATGCAGCTTTGATATAGCAAGATCATAAAATGATGTCCATTTATTTGTAATTTATATTTCTGTAAGTTTTATCTGAAAAACTCCATACATAAATAAAGAGTCTGTGAAGAGCTACCGTATCTATGTTCTGTAAGTACAATTAAATAAATAAAAAAGAAATTGCTAATTAAATGTAGCGTAAGAGAGCCACATCCACTAGTTCCACATTTGTTATTTTAAAAAATTTTAGATTTTATTGATTCATGATAACCACAATTTTAAATCTGACCCATAAGTACGCTGAACTAGCTAATCGCAATGCGAGGGTCCTGTGATTGGAAGGGAAATAGAAAAACTAGAACAGTGTGGACTCCTTAAACAAATCCTTCCAATCCTTAATGCCGAGAAAAAACCCTCTTAATTAGTTGCTCGGCATAAGACTTGATTAGAAAATTAAGAATTAGAAATTAGAAACTTTCGTAGCAATTTGTTAAACTCAGTAAAACATTTTTTTACGTTTAAAAATAAAAGAGCTTTTGACACAGATAAGTTGATCCATTAGAGTTAAAGGGAAAAATTCATAGGATACTGATGTTGATTAGAACCATCATTTTGTATTGACTCAAGCTGAAGATGATCATCTGATACCTCCTCATGCGAAAAAAGGATGTATTTACAGACTTTAATAAAACGATTTTATTAAAGTCTGTATTCCATATAAAAGCCCACAGTTTTAGCTGGACTTACTATATACATATAATAAAGCTAAGGGCATCACTGTTTTAGTGTTGAAGATTTCAAATTGACATTTTTTGGAGGGTGGAGTTTTCGAAGATGCTTGAATACCACTGAAACATCCCAGACCATGGCATTATCTAGGAAGAGCTGGTCTTGCAACAAATACACCTTTAACAAACTTAGCAACGAGTGGATGTGTAACAAACGAGATGCCACTTGGTAGCATTAGGATTGTACACAAGGCGCTCCTTGCAGTATGAATATCGCTGTAAGATAAACCTTCCTGGTAAAATTTTGTAAGAAAATTAATGCCCTCTTCTACAGAGGACGCGACAGGATCGATATTGTTTGCACTGCAATATTGTCGCCTACGGTTAAGGTATGTAGAATATTGTTCTTGGTACCGGTCCACCAGGCCTTTTGGATGATTTTAGAAGCTCCCTAGAGAAATACCTTCATCAGAGAGGAGTTTCCCGATAAATGGCAAAGTAGTAACTCCAGTTTTGTATTGATTGGGTGGGGATGTCGTTTACCTCGAGGTAAAACAACTGGATGTGCTATTAGCATCTGCATTAAAGCTGCCCCCAAATTTGTGTTGGCCAATTAGGGACTAAGACTAGTCCTTTGCTTTTCTCTTGTACTATTGTAACACTTGCGAAATTATGCTAAAAGGCGGGAACCCATAAAATGTATAAATGGCTCACGAGATCGTAAAGGCGTTGACAGCAATAGCATACGGGTCATGTTGGTATAAAGCATAGGGTTTCACTTGATTATTCAACATTGACGCAAACAAATCAATGTTCGGAGTTACATGAGTTACATTTAGTTTTTGAATGGCACACGTGAACAGAGTCTTGTTCAACTGCCATTTTGTTTCTCTGCATGATATTCGAGATTCTCGATCCGCAGTGACAATTTGTAATCCTGGAATGTGCGTTGCTGTCAACGAAATATACGAAGTGCAGCATGTCTAGACTTTGCATGTCGACTTGTGAACTGATATTGAGTGGCATGTGCCCTATTGGTTAATGCAAGCTACAGCGGTAGTATCATCAATTATTAGTTTAACATGATGACCTTTTAGTTCTAAAGAAAATGACTCAAGGGCAAACAATACCTCAAGAATTTTCAAATAAGTTAAACGGCTGGAAGCCTCAAAGTCATCCAGTTATCTCAAGCACATAAACCATTAATGGAGCAGCATCACCTTTTCAACGAGGCATCTGTTTTTAGGCAAATGCTAGGCTCAATGTGGTTATAAAGTGCCAGTGAGTAGTGCGTAATAATGACTGTCACCATCTTAAATCATGTATGGCCTCTGAAGACAGGGTCATTGTCCCGTCAAATTTACCGCAGTTTAACTTAGGGGCATCGATTTTATATATTTCCAGCCAGCAATAATGCAACTGATCGTACATTACGCCCTGGAGACTCCAAGGTAGAGTGCCCAAAACCCGTATAACATCCCTTATTTTTGTGTGAGACGCTTGTAGCAGCTCATGAAAAATGCGTTTTATCTTCTCAGCTCGTTCTGTAGTCACAGATATTCGCATAAGGACTGATTTGAATTGGAAACCAAAGTTGTATTTTTGGATAAAGCTCATTGAATAGGAATAGTGTCAAATTCAATTTTTTCTCCAACTGTCTCTAAGATTTTCTTATCAGAGTTGAGTGTTTCCCATGCTCTTAAATTTGATATGCTGCCAGCCTGATAGGTCTCAAAGCTTTTATTTAGATACGCTTTTAGCGTGGGTACAAAAGAAGAATACTGGTTTTCTATAAAATCTCAAAATTTCTTAAAAATTTGTTTTTTACTTGCGATCGTTCATTGTGTCCGATCGTTTCTTTCTGAATTGGTTCCACTTCGACCGATAGAGGGTGTTGCCCTGATGACGGGATGAAAAATGGCGCCATTGTCGTTTCTCTTGTTTTGAATGTTGCTGCCAAGTGGTATTAGAATTAAGAACTTGTTGTCGCGTTGTTAATTTTTTTCTTGTGCGAATGTGGGTTTGCAATTCATCTCCAAACAAGTATTTCGTAATGGGAACATGCGATGCGCATAAAGTACTAAATTCTGGATGGAGATTGGGACGTATAGCGTCACATCGTCGTTTAGACAATTCAAAACTTACATGTCCCAGGATTGCCATGATAATAGCGTTCGTACGAACAAGATCATCAATATTCAGTTCGCTGCATGCTTTTATTGCAAGCAACCAACAGTTTATTGGTGGTTTGTGTTGCTATATTCGTCATGGTTGATTGAATGGCACTCAATTGTAAATCTCGCCCTCTAGCTGGGTGGTCTAATTTCTCCCAAATTTCGGGGCTTATGTTAGGTACAGTAAGACAATCGCAGTTCTTAGGACTAAAATTTTCTTCCTTCAATTGTTCGTAGCTCAGCTTGTTCAGCCGGTGGATAATTGAGGCGAGCTTCCTGTTGACGATTGGTGAAGTCTTCTCAGTTTCGTCAAGTGTTTGCGGTATCTCTTTCCGCAGCGGGTCCACTGCTAGTTGTTCTGCTTCAGAATTGCGCTTGGTCGAAAGTTCTTCGCAATCTGCGTCATGCCCTGACTAAAGCACTTGCTTTCCTCTTACGAGTAGATTCCACTGTAGAGGATACTGATGTTTCCTGCAAAAAGCTGAGTGATTTACTCATTGTGGTTGTTGCTTCACTCATCCTACCAAGGGTGGTTGCCACATTCAAATTCCTTGATGTGACTTGCACATCTTCGCTTTCTTCAATGTTATCGTGTTCATCGTGATCAGCAAAACCCCGGAGTGCTGTTTCATCTCCTGTCGTATACTTTTAATTATACTCATAATTCAAAAATTTGTAATATAGTGTGGAAAGGAACTTTTTGTAACTGATAACGCTGTGAAATCTACGCTCGAACTGATCTTGATATCGCGCGCTCTATCTCACATGACTTCCTAGTGACGTAGAACAGTGACGAAATAGAATTTGCTTAATTTAACGTTTATATGGGATTTTGCATGAGCTTCTATGGTATGCAATATTTAGGAAATATTATATATTAACATCGATATTAGATTCATTCTTTTCCAGTGGAAAGCGGGATGCTTTCACTGAAGGTAAATGATGTATTGTCAAACATTAACACCGATTATGTTACTGATATTTAATATGGAATTCGAGCTTTGTCCTTATGAACTGTTCAACATGCTTCCAAACAAAAATGAGCAGGAATATTCAGTTGATTAATCTATAATAAACCTTTTACCTTTTAATTCTGCTATACCGGTCACAGCCCGGGACTTGTAGCGTATAAGGCTCTCTGCTTTCGAGTAGACTTGTCTTGTTTAAAAGGAGTGGAAGGTTAATTTCTCAAATGTTGTAGGCAGGTACAGGTCACGCGCATGTCAAAAATTTTGGTATTTTTTGTTAACAACTATTGCATACGTTTTTTAATTTTTTGAGCTGCTATACTTTATACGCACCTATGTAAACACCCCATGTTTTTAGTGTTGAGACATCCTTGCTTTTCCATTCTAGAGAACTTTCGTGTGCATATCCACAAATGCTTTGTATTATTTGTGTACAGCAACTCTTCTATTTTACTCATTTGAAAATTTCCATCATTCCATGACAGCGAAAGTGCTGACAAACCTATACATTTGCCTCACTTCCGCGTATTGTAAATATACGAGTTAGTTAAAAGTTAAATTCTGAATACAGAAATATTTTACATAGGTATAATTATGTATAATTATGTAAGATTTGTAGTCTCATCAGATATAGTTATGAATTGAGTATGAAGAATAGAAAATCCGATGATATACAATAAGTAAATTGCTAACCGGTACAAGAGTTTGTATTTATGCACTTCATTTAAATGATAGCGAAAGTGCTGACAAACCTATACATTTGCCTCACTTTCGCGTATTGTAAATATACGAGTTAGTTAAAAGATAATTTCTGAATACAGCCTTATTATACATAGGTATAACTATATATAATTATGTAAGATTTGTAGTCACATCAGATATAGTGATGAATTGAGTATGAAGAGTAGAAAATCTAATGATAGAGAATAAGTAAATTGCTAAACGGTACGAGAGTTTGTATTTATGCACTTCATTTAAATGAATTAAGCAATTTCAACTGTTTTTGAGTAAAATTACCATAACGATCAACATGGCCTATAAAAAGTACTGAAATGGAGACCCTCGGAAATATGGCGTTGACGTACGTACCTCCAACTTCCATAAACAAAAAAATTTTTCCCGAAGTGCTTACCCAGCTAGCAAAATTACGTTGTCTCAACGTTTTACCAACGTTCGTCGAACGTTCACTCAACGTCGGAGACCAACGTTGAGACAACATGATTTTGTCAACTCGTAGGAACGTGGTGGCGACGTTAGGATAAACGTTGGGATGTAACGTATTTTCAACCTAAACCCGACGTTTGTACAACGTTCATACAACGTTTATCCGACGTTCATACAACATACAATAAATGATGCATTATTTTTGAAATCATAAAACAGTCTTTTCAATGATACGAACGAAAGTTTAATATCCATACAATCATCTTTTAATTCATCTATTTTGCAGTGCGTGTTTTAATATACATATTTACAAAAATGCTAATAAAGCCGATTGCAATAAGTTGTCTTTTCGGACCTGCAAGAAAATAACATATATGATCATTAAAAAATGGTAGTCTATATATCATTTTATATGTCTTACCACCTACAACAACAATGACTTATTTGTTTGTAAAAGATGTCATTTAAATGGAAAACTGAATCGTCTGCTGTATGTATATCTTCCTAATGTAATTTATATAAACATATGGATCAAAGTATTTTTTAGTTTTATTCACTTAAAAGCAATCGAATAAATCCACTTATATGAATGCCACTACGTACGTACGTCGGATATAAGAAATTATCTCGCTCTACAACGTCATCTCATACGCACGAGAAACAAAACAAGTGAACAAAACTTTAATCGTTATGGCACCTTTTTCACATTTAACCAACACTATCTTTTTTATATAAATAATAAAACAATTATTGAATTGGGTTTTCACGTAATATAAAGAATTATCAAGGCATCAATGTGTTCTATCTGCCTCAGCGTTGGTAGATTGAACAAACCTTGGCCTTCATAAGTCTTAATTCATATACTATTTCATTCAATAATTGTTTAATATCACGCTAAGCAAATTGTATATTATGAATCTAATCATGCAGTTTGAGTTAACAAAATTTAAAACTTGCACAAAAATAATACCTGCACTAAAATGAACATTTTTTTAAAGGTGCGCATTATGTATATGTGTCCATTTCATTTTGCTTTACTTATAATTCAAAGACAATGAAAGACACATGCTCACTTTCTTTAAGTGCACATGCCAATAATGCTATTGTGTATTTTTCTCAACTTACACAGACAAGAAAATACAAATATGTCAACTATGAGATTACGGAGTAAAATAAGTTGAGTTCTCCCTGTCTAAGTTGAGAAAATCAAACAAAGAAAAAATGGCATCTATATACTTTACCCAGCAATCTATTATGATAATGACATGTTACCTTAAATCTGGAAACACCTTGCTTGCCTGGAGCGTATTTTAAAAATTTGGCAATTTTCTCTTCAACGTTGGCCTCGGTGCATCCTTTATAAGCTCTGAGGCAGGCTTCTAACAAGTGAAACGAAACAGAAAAGACATACTTTAAATAAATTGCATAGACAAAACACTAAATAATTTTCGTAAGCTGAATGATAAACAACAATTCATTAAAGTGACATATGCAAAACAGTTTAATGTATTAGCTTTTAAAACTTGCAACAATATTCCTTATGAGAAGGAACAACATAAATGGCTGTTTTTCCAATTCATGAACGAGAAAGAGACAAAACATGGTACTGCTGCAGCAATCATTATCGCCTAATTGTGCTTACTTGTTATAACTTTGCAGAGGGCAAGGTGCTGAAATGGTCGCTTTGACTTTCTGACTTTTAAACTATATTGGGACCATAGATTATTTGTTCCCAGCTTTTTCATAATTCTTCTAACACTGTTTGCACAGGTGTTTGCCACAGTGCTACCAAAAACTGCAGCTAGTAAAGAGAGTAAAAGATAAATTATATGGCAAAGTTCAATTTAGACATATATATATAACCATTTTGATATCGAATTGCAAAACAAAACCATGCAAAGTGAATGGTGAGAGCTTTTAGAAAGACCAGTATCTTCGTTAAAATTTTCCAGCACAAATAAAACGACACACTCCTAAGAGCCGTTTGAAGTATAGTAACGTATTTAAATCAATCAAAACACGACAATGCTCTCAAGAAAAACACGAAGCTAGATTCTTATAGTTTAATCAGATAATCTGACCCTCTAACGTCACGAAAATCCTCATTAAAATTACAGTACCGCTCGCGTATTTGTTAACATACGCTACGCGTATGATACGAGAGCGATACGCGTATCATACGAGAACGATACGCGTATCATACGAAAAGGATACGCGTATGATGAGCGTATAATGCGTGAACGATAAGCGTACATATAATACGAGGATGAAACGCTGTGATACTTGATAGAACTTTGTTCATCGTAATGAGCGGCACTATGGTGACATATAGATGTCATCAATATACACTTAAGAAATTTTCACCATGAAGGAGTTAAAAGGAACAATAAAGCAATTGGGTTTTTATAAATGATACCATTCAAGTTCATGTATGTTATGCATCCATAAATTTTGGGTTGCTTTAGTTTCAATGAAATGTGTTTATCTCATGTCGTATCTAAGTATACATATGACTCATCAATGACGTATATAGTTTGAGACACATCCTATGAAAACGGAAAGTCATTGTGATTAGTTTGTTTTGAGATTCATTCAAAGTTGCGTGTGCTATAAACATAAGAAACGACACACTAACAATTGCTTTGTAGCACAATGATGACATAAAAAAGTGTCAGTATACTCTTAAGATATTTTATTCACGAAATAGTTTAAAGGCACGATATAGCAAAAGAATTTTTTAATAGATGATCTTATATATACATGTATATAAATTTTGGGTTTCTTTTGCAATGAGCTGCTATTGTCTCACGTCGTATCTAAGTATACATATGAGTTATCAATGACATAGCTGAATAGTTTGTGACACATTCTTGTATAGAAACGGAAACAAATTGTGATAACATAAGTCATGGTTTTTTGAAAAACTATATTGAAGAAAAACTTCAGCATCTAAAGGGTTAAGTTTAGGACTTTATACGAGAATATTAAGAAAGTAATATGGATATGACACGAGAACGACATGCGTATAAAATGAAACGATACGCGTATGATACGAAGAGGATACGCGTATGATACGAGAAGGATACGCGTATGACACGAGAAGGATACGCGTATGATACGAGAGCGATACGCGTATGATAAGAGAATGATACGCGTATGATACGAGAAAGATACGCGTATGATACGAGAAGGATACGCGTATGATACGAGAGCGATACGCGTATGATAAGAGAATGATACGCGTATGATACGAGAACGATACGCGTATGATACGAGAATGATACGCGTATGATACGAGAACGACACGCGTATGATACGAAGAGGATACGCGTATGATACGAGAAGGATACGCGTATGATACGAGAAGGATACGCGTATGATACGAGAATGATACGCGTATGATACGAGAACGACACGCGTATGATACGAAGAGGATACGCGTATGATACGAGAAGGATACGCGTATGATACGAGAATGATACGCGTATGATAGTGCACGTTTCAGACTTTGACAAACGTGCATGTTTTCAAGCTTCAAACACAAATGGTAGAAGAAAAGTCAATATTATGTTACGTAATTGCAAATGAAACAATCGTTTTCACGTTTCCAAACCGATAAAGGGGAAGGGCTATCCTTTGCTTTGTCACATTTTTTTACGCAACACTTGAAAGAGTCATGCATAAAAACAGGCAGTGCCAATAAATATTACTAAATACGTATGGATGGTTAACTTTCTAAAACTTACCAACTTTCTTCTGGACTTTTCTTCATCAAGACTAGAGGATAGTCCTCAAGTTCTTAAACCGAATCAAAGGCATTAGGTACAACATCTTCCAAAATTTCGTGCTCGTCTACACCTTTCGTAGCGCTTAACAGAGCACGCAATATTGACAACGTTTCTTCTTGCTTAACAATTAATGTTTCCAGTTTGGTGAGAACTGATCTTTGGAAGCCTACAAAATAGATAAGAAAATAATAGAATAACTTATGTATAACCTACGATTATCTTAAAAATATAAAACCTTACAACATGCTAACAAGAAAATTCAAATAAAACTCGCATCAAATTGCTAATTAAATACACATACATAATAACAACGCGTTTTCAAAACTATATATTGTCGAAAAGGTACCATTAATGTTTGGTTGAGAACGTCTTCCTGCAGGTGTTATGTTCATAAAACTTTTCGAAGGCGTTTCGTGCGATGAAAGGTCATGCGCATCTGCAAAGCAATCACGTGTTGCAGTTAGTTGTGAAGAAAAAAAAACATTTCAAACGATACGAAATGAACGTAAATGAAAACGTAACAACAAAACATGCAATAATGAATTGTAAGAAAAGCTTGCCTAAGAACCACTGCTTCGTTGAGATTGTCTTTCTCTTGTAGTGCCAGTTGTAGGAATTCCTTGTGAAGAGACGTTGCTTGTATCTACAGAGAAGACACGTACTGGGTTTAACATACATCTTTATTGAACGCACGAACGTCATTTAAATTAAAGTACTACAAGTTTCAAAAATCAGAAACAGAAAGGTGACTAAAATAAAAATTTCGAGAAAGTTTCATTTAGTAGTTTGATAGCAAAAACTGAGAATTAGATTTGAACGAATGTATTTTGATTAAATCATGGTGAACACAACTGCAATTTTAGCTATAACTAACATTTTTTCAACTAATTACAACAACATTTTAAAGGACCAACGCCCACAGCACCTGTAGAACATACATAAGCCCTATGATGCAATGATGGACGTAGAAAAACAGTAAATGTACAATACGAATGTTAAAGTTATTTAAAAGAATCAATCAAAATTATTTCAGCATTTTAGTTGACATGTTATATGAAAGTTGCTGATTAGTCAGTTCTGATGACAGAAAACTTACCACTACGTTGAGATGGTGTCCTACTAGTAGATGGGGAAGTTATCGCATAATTCTTTGTGTTTAGGATTTCTGGTGCTAGTTCACCGTCATATAAATCTAGATCAACATTATATTAGTATGAAAAGAGAAATTTTATACGTGCATATTTCTGTCAAAAAATTGTCCACTTGTACAAGGATTAAAATAGCGCTTATACCTTTTTCTGCAAGGGAGATCAGCTCGTTGTACACCGGCAAATCTAAAAAGCAAAATCACTCATTAGATTTAAATGCAACGTAGCAATATGTGAAAAACTGCACTCCTTTGAATAAAGCAATGGCCTATTGCATTGCAACTACAGTACTTACTTCTAGAATTTGTTGATAAGATTTCATTGACGGCTGAAAGAAATTTTGCCTGTAAACAAAAGAAACTGTCTGAATTCTGTAGCTTTCCATCTGTCAACCTCCATTAAACTCCTAGGTTTTCGCACAAATGTAGAGGGGATAAATTGTTTAAGCTCCACCAATTTTTTACTAACAGCCTCTACATGGGCAACAGACATTTTAACAGCATGATTTCCCCTCATCCCAAACCATAGTCAATTTACGCATAACACCCAGACACAGTTGATACATGTAGTCAAATGGAAATTGCTTTACCATATCAACAGGCAAGTGACAGAAAGGGCTAACAAAGCGATGATGTTCTTCAAATCTGCTTTCTAAAGGAAATATTAGTGCACAATTCTATATTATTATTTTAAGAGTAAGTCACTTGACCAAGCCCCTTTCCTTTTTGTGTACACTTGTCACAACCAAAATAACCAGTACAAAATTTTGTACCTTTAACAAGTGCTCTTGCAGGAGCATCACAAACAATGCCCCTTACTGTAACAGTTAGAACCTTTTCCCCATCTTGGACTCCCCTCTCTAGAATACCCTTCAAATCTTCTATAAACTCATCCAAAAACTCCAAGTCTTTTGGCTTGGAGTCAACACACGTTAGGACAATAGGAAACACTACAACAGGTTTGATATTCAAAATGGCACACAACACTGGCCATATATTTTTGCAGAACTTTTAAACAAAAGAAGCCCATCAACATTTATGATTAATGTTCTAAAGCATTCGTATGATTACTACAGCCATCTTCATTAGGCATTGCATCACTGCATCTTAAAGCTTTATTAGCAGCAATCCAGTAATTTTGTATTACCTGGTCATGTTTTATTTTGATATGAACTAAAGTAAATAATAAATGTAACTGTCACTCTATTTATTTTTGATTGATTTAAACATATCCTAATGTTACAACCCATTCCCCCTAAGTGCTGGTGATCACAACATTTAGCGTAATGTTTTAATAAAAAAATGATAATTCTCATTCACAAGTTATGGTAACTTATATATCTCCTATACCAAATTTGTAACTTATTCTCTTCTTTACATGCATGTATCATACCTAATTTATACGTAAACCTAAAATTTTAAGTATAACATTATAGTTTACTTGCTAACAACAGCAAATGGAAAATGTTCTAAGCAAAAGTTCTAAATAAAAATAATTCAACTGACATTGCAAGCTTACTAAAGAAATAGGCTAAGTTAATAAACCAATCTAAGAGATAAAAAAGTGGTTTGTAAACTACATATTGTAAACTACATAGTGGTTGTAAACTTGAATGCAATAATGGGACAAACGATACTTACTAGTATTGTAAAGCAACCATCCATTGTTATGAATAAACATTCAATTACCTCTTTGTAAAATTATATTACTGTTTAAAAACTGCTGTGATTTGCAATAAAAACTACAACTATTTAAAGGTTTAAGGCTACGTGATTCTTAATCAAAAACATTTTGTAAATCACATAATCCCATAACACCATGTTAAAACATATTAATCATCACCTCTTATCAGTCAGTCAGTTAATATAATTCCAGATATGCTAAAACGTGATATTTACGTAAGATTTCAGATATAAAACAGAATTTTGACAATAAAATTCATACGATTATACATCGGGAATTCAATGATCACAAAAAATTGTAATCATTAAATTTGATAAGTAATTTTTGAACTAAAAACATCAGTCGCGTGAATGATTTGACATACCCTAGATCCGCCCCTGCATGTTATGACAATAACAACCATACGTACTGATGAATACCATATCCAAATGCTGTAGCAAGGTGTAGTGATAATATTATTTTTACAAAATAAAAATAGAAATGAAAACTAAGTTTAAACTAAGCTTAGTAAATTTGTTTGTTCCTACACCAATTTACCCGGACTCATAAAGTCACGGCAAAAGTAACATACGACAATCTCTAGATTATAAAGAATGATAAAATAAAGGTACTTACCACAATTTTTACGCATTGAAACATATTCTAGATCATAACTGTCTCTAAACTTGGAAAGCAAGCTGTACATTATCTTGTCTTGACAACTATTAGGCAAATTCAATTCTTGCACTTGCGATTTTCAAATGAACACGAACGCCGATATTTTACAGGTATCGAAATAATTTTAATGTCAAATTGATTTAAAGAACTTGGGTTATCCATGACAGATATTTGAAATACGTAAAACGTCGCCAAATGTCTTCAATAATTGAAAACCCTTGTTTGCAAACGTTATCCGCCAAACATTTTTATAGTAATTTGTTATCTATAGCGGGTAACCGGAAGTGCATTTTGCATATATAAAATTGGCTTAACATTTAAAAGAAAAGCTCAAAATAATTCGCGATTTCGCTGCCCAGCAAGAACCCGTTGTAGTGTTCATCGTAGAAACATAGCTTACATGATACTTTTAATCTTGAGATATCTGAGTACAACATTGTTTATAAAAACAAAGCTTTTGGACCACATGGAGGTGGGTTAAAATTATGCCAATCAACTAGTTATAAACTAATTAGTTAATTCAATTACAGCAATGGACATTTTTATATTCGTGTTGTGAAGTCGTTTTGAATTATGCTTTTAATAGACTTAACTTTTGCCATCTTACGGATCAATTCTTATTACCAGAAACAGCTTGAAATATACTTAAATGATACAACCAAACATCGGACATGATCTTAACAAATCTTTATAGTTTCTGCAATAAGAATTCTATATCAGCCTTCCTTCATTTAACTTCATTTAATTTATCAGAATATAATGTAATGTTATCTTTTCAAGGCGTGAAATTTACTTTTCCCAACATTTAAGCCTACGAAGGCCTGTTTAGACAATCAAATGAAACAAAACTTCTACAATCTGATATTGTGAATTTTCATGTATAAGACCAACTCTTAATTATGGAGCTAAGGTTTTTTTTAACAAACTCCCAAAATACTAAGGAAACGGTAATAAAATTCAAACATGTTAATAAAAACAATAAAAATCATAAGGCCGTATCTTTGCTTTACATAACAATAAACTTTTAATGTTTTGAATTAAGTTGCACAAAATAATTTGCCACGTATCAACTCAAAGGACGTAACCATTTGACGCTTAACTTATCAGAACGTTAAGAAATCTGAAAGATCGAATGTTCAAAGCCTCAATCGTCGACCAGTAAAAGGTTTGTAAGACAAAAGACAAAGAATTATCATGTGTGTTAACGATGTATAAATGAGATGTTACATAGAAGTTGTTCGTCAAATATAATTAATACACTTTTAATAAATATTAGTCTCAACCTAGTACTACCCATATTACATCATAGATCCCCGTAGCAACTTGCGATCCTGTTGTTGTATACAAACTAAACAAAGCTACAAATACAAACAATTTGCTTACCAAAAAATCACTGTCATCTGAAGGAAGGCGTGTTTATCATAATGTGCTTGCTTGCTAAGGAATTTAAATTGCTTGTTAGCATGCAATTATAGTTATCTTTGAGTGCGGATAGTATATTTATAAAATATGTGTATTTCATTATACTTGTGATGATATGAAATGACTTTTATGAATCAGGAAGAAAATTTGGTTTGAAATTGCAAATGACTCATGCATGCCATCGTTGAGTATTTTAAACATTTAGTCGTTTTGTCGTTTTGTGACGTTGCAATTCATACAACAATAACGTCAATTATCTTTCGTCGAACTGTTTACGCTAAGGTGATACATGAAAATTCATAGCATTAAATAAATATAACTAAAAATCTTTGATTTCCGATTTGTAAACAGAGCTTTTGGACCACATTGTGGTGTACAGCAGATATTCTTATATAATGATGCCACGTTTGAGGCTCTTCTCGTTAAAATTAGACCGATTAACTAATTATAAACTAATTATTCAATTCAATTACAGTAATGAACATTTTTATATTCTGGGTGTAGCATCTTTTTGACTTGTGATTTTGATAAACTTAACTTTTGCCACCTTACGAATCAATTCAGATTACCAGAAACAGCTTGTAGTTAAATATACCTAAAAGATACAACCAAACATTGAACTTGATGGTAACAAATCTGTATAATTTCTACAAGACTACAACAAGAATTCTCTATCACCTTCCTTCACTTGATTTATCAGAATATAATGAAATGTCACCTTATCCAACTGTGAGTTTTACTTTTCCCAACATTAGAGAAAACAAACGCATATTTTAGATAAGACTTAGTCTATTTTACGAAATGAAGATCTTGTAAAATACAGTATATATTGAGAGACAAAATACAGAGGTCATTCGTTTACGAATGACAAACAAGAATAACAGTAGGGTCCAGGCCCCTTATTAATCAACGATTATCCCATTATGCTCTATCCCCTTAAGTCTTTCCAGCATAGGAAAACGTAATATAAAGTTGTTCTTTGGTATTTGTTCATCCTCTCAATTTTCTAACAGCCCTTTCTTGTTGAAATCGAGTAATCTGCGTAGAGCTAGTGTTGCTTTCTTGCTACGCTTTGTGGTCGCTGGTGTAGGTTCTCTGGCATCCTCAGGTATCTTGGTTGCGTTTGATGAAGTTCTATCTGCGGTGCGGTATCTATGTTCGGTAGTGGTGCTGGCTCCAGGGTATCAGTCTGTGTCGTCGGTCCTAGACGTGGGAATGACGATGTTGGTTTTCTGTTGGCTGGTGTCAATTTGCTGGGAGTAAGGTTCTCCATTGACACTTTTGGTATCAGCAGCAGGTCCGTATCAATAGTACATTTAGGTGGCCGCTCTTGTACAGGTGTGAAATGCCGGAGAAATTTTTCTGTTTCTTAGTGTAATTCTGTTGGATCCGTCGACTTTGACGCGGTATTGATCGTGTTGAAGAACTTCGATGACTGTTCCAGTCTTGTCCCATTTCGTAGGGTACGGTCCTGTTTGGTTCTGTATTCTTACGTGATGTCCAGTGGACAGAGGTGGTAATCTTCTTGTGTGTTCTGACCAACGTTCCGCCGCTCTCATGTGCCGGTTTCGTAAAGCCTCCTCTCGAGCATCGAGTGTTTCGCTCCAGGTTGCGTGTTGCTTATAACGGCCGGGGGGAATTGGTATGAAGTCCTTAATAGGTCTACCAAAGACGCATTGTGGCGGTGATAATTTCGTATCAGTATCAGGCGTGTTACGATATTGTAGAACAGCAATTTGTAAGGCGTTTGTGTTGAGGCTACCAGTGGGGCCGGTATTGTTCGTGATGAGGCGTTTCACAGTTTTAACTGCAACCTCCGCGCGACAATTTGAGTGCGGAAATGCAACGGAGGCGAGGCGGTGGTGTACTCCCCATTATTTGAGGTATTTTGACGGTGGTGAATGGTGGTCCATCCTCAGTAGCGCATTCGTCTGGCATCCCAAAGGTGGTTTCGCACAATCTGTGCGAAGTGCTGGTTCACTTTTCTGAAACTTCACACTAACGATGCGACTGTATTTTTAACACTTCAATAAGATATTTACAGTGTTGTGCACGATTTTACGATCCAAGCGTTGGTTCTTCGCGATACGGAATGATTAAATGGATCTCGATAAGATTACGGACAACCGTCAATCCTAGAACTGCGTTTTCGAAATTTATTGCCTTCTGCAATACGACTCTATATCATCAAATTT